GGGAAGGGAAGGGAGTGGGCATAGGGATAGAAATGATGGTGGAATGTGATGATTATTACTATCCAAAGAACATGTATGAAGACATGAATTGGTGTGAATATACTATGTATAGAACCAGAGATGTAAAAAAATCGTGCTCTATATATGTAATAAGAATTGTAATGCATTCTGTTGTCATATATAAATAAAAAATTTTACATAAAAAAAAAGAATTAGGAGGAGGCCCTCTACTGAGGATGCAGCAGTGAGAACAGAATGGAGCAGCAGACATGAGAAAACTTTGACGTGGAAATGGCAGAATTTGAAGACTGGGTCTGAGTGAGGAGTCAGGGTGGGTTTTAGGACTTCCTTGGGGTCAGGGAGTAGGCTCTTAACTTAAGCAGGACACAGGAGAAAGGAGGATGGTTTTAAAGGAGAAGATAATATTGAGTAGGACACAAGGCATTTGAGAGGGGTTTGCTAAATCCCAGGTGTGAGTGTTTTGTGGGGAGCCATAGACTAGACTGCTGTTGTTTTTTTTTTTCTTTTGTGGAACTGGGGAGCTAACTCAGGGCTTCTCACATGCTAGGCAAGTGCTCTACCACTGAGTTACAACCCCAGCCCTGCGGGGAGCTATAGGTTTGAAGTTCAATAGCAGTTGTGAGTTGGGGGTGTGAATGTGGCAGCTGAACCCCAGTAATAAACCCAAACAAGCAGGAAAAGCTAGAGTGGTCTGCATGAGTCCCTGAGTAGTCCATTCCAGGGGAAATTCCTGGAACAAGGAGTAGCCAAATAGGTTGGAGAAAAGCAGGGAAGAAATGGTAGAGTGAGAACCAGCAGAACAAAGAGTTTTACTTAGGAGGGGATGGTTGCTGGTGTGGAGCCCAGGGGCCCATGGAGAAAGATGGCACCTCAAAACCAGCAATGAGTCAGCACTCAGGGGGTCACCGGCAGCTGAGTGGGACTCTTTCGGAAGAGCTATGGGGGTGGAAGCCAGACTGCAGTACACTTTGATGTGGTCTGAAGATAGGGAAGTGGGGTGTTTTCTTTGAATTGTTTTTCTAGTAGAATAGTTCACCATTTCACCTACTCTTTTGCTCTGTTACTTGTGGAGATGAAAGTCACCAGATTTTTATTTTTATTTTATAAACAACTGGCTGGGCTTAAGAGGTGCAAGTCTTGAGCCTTGGGGGGAAAAATGTACTTCTTTTCAAAGACAACACTTTGTTATCTTTGTAAGATTAGCTTGCAACCATTAACTGCCAATTAGAACATTATGTTGATCAACTAAGTAAATGAGAAATTTAGATTCATAGTGCAGTACTGAGAAAGGTGGTATTAAATGTAAACAGGACAGAACTCCTAACCTCCCCAAGTGTACTGGTCTAGGCCTGCATTTTTTTTTTTTTTAAAGAGAGAGTGAGAGAGAGAGGGGGACAGAGAGAGAGAATTTTAACATTTATTTATTTTTTCCTAGTTCTCGGCAGACACAACATCTTTGTTGGTATGTGGTGCTGCTGAGGATCGAACCCGGGCCTCACACATGCTAGGCGAGCGCGCTACCGCTTGAGCCACATCCCCAGCCCTAGGCCTGCATTTTAAATGCCTCACCCCCTTCCTTTGCTCTTCTCTCCCACCTTCCCTTTCTATTCCTTTTGACCTAATTGAAATCAAAGGCAATAGAAGAATAGAAGGGCAGAGAGGACAGAAAAACAAGAGTCCACACTTTTACCTACAGTACATTCTATGCTAAGCTCTCAGGGCTATTCACTAGTTCTTTCTAGAATAAATGAAACTATTTTAATTTAAAACAATTGTTGAAAATATCTCCCTCCTTTCTACCCTGAGAATAAGTTCACCATAGAAACTGAGTTATCTGTGCCAACACTATAAAATATGGCCTCCATGCCAGAGATTCTGTCCAAAGGGCCCATTTTCAATGGCTAAGCCAGATTTCTATCTTGAATACAATTGGTTCCCCCCAGTACTGATTCCACTGCCAAGTTTCCCCAGCTGTTTTTGATTGTTAAGTATATTGGTGTCACTACTTACGAATTGCTTGAACATATTAGATTATTTAAAACCCTTAAAATGACCATTTTATGTATTAAGATTCATCATATTAAAACGGGTGTCAATTGAAGTGGATTAAAAGGCACAGAGAAGCCAAATATGCTGCACTAGCTCCTAAGTGATGCTATCTTCTGCTAATTCTCTCGATAGTCCCCCAAAGATACACGCAGAGGATAATTTGAATTAGCATATGCAGCACTTGAAAGATTTTCATGCATTATTCTTTTGAAAAGAAAAAAAAAAAAGAATTATGTGATAAGTTGAACCTAGCATTGGTTTTCTGTTTTGGCACTTTTCAGTTGACCTAAAACACATTTAAAACTTTTTTTAAAATCTCACAAAGGAAAAAAAAAAGTTTGAAATAAAAATAATATAAATGCAGCAAGGGTTCAGTTTATTCATTTTGTCTATTTCTTATTTTTCTCTAATATTTGATGCCTACTATCAGTGTGTACAGCATATTATTTTGCCGGTAAGTTGGCCCTTGACACACACAGGTGACATTTGACAGGCTGGGAAGACTTCTTAGACAAATACCAGCCCAGATTTAAATGGAAATGGGCCAGTTAGCAAACAGATAATAAATAGAACCTATGAGGAAAAAAAAATCATGTCCCACCCCTGTTGGGAAAGAATTCATACTAAAATTATACAAGGATCCATCTGAGAACTTCTCAAGGCTGTTCAAAATTTGAAGACGTATCAATTTAAACAACTAAGGCTATCAGATGAGATACTGCAATATTTGGCACATACTTATACTAAAAAAAGGTATTTATTATTTATCTGAAATTCAAATTTGACTGTATATCTTATATTTTTATTTACTAAATCTGACAACCTTATCAATAGCAATGGCGTGCAATTAGTGTGGGCCTCAGCAAGCTGGTTTCACCAGATTAAAATCACCAGCAAGAGCTTTCCCCACAATTCCTTATGAGCATCTCCTGCCAAATAACCAAACAACTGGGCTCTTTGTCCAAAAACAGGTCAAGGAAGTATCAATACTATTTAAACCAGCTCCTGGGATTGACCTGACCCAGCCAGAAGGGTTCAGGTTAGTCCAGAATGAATTAGACAAGTCATTGTTTCTTTCCTAATCCTCTCCTGGGGCGACTGGGTGACACCCTTCTTACTCCATCAAGTCATTCTCCCTTCATTTCTGTTTTTCCTTCTGCTATTTAATAATTGAATATTATTCCAGGGTTGATCTGAGGTTCATGGAGCAAAGTCATTTAGGTCGTTACACTGCTTCATTCATTTTTCCCTAAACTCACCTAAAGTCAAGGGGATTATTTTCCTTCATTTTTTTTTTTTTTCTGTGCACTTGTGATATGAGGGTTTCCAGCCTGTGGAGTGCCTTCCATGACCTGGGTTTTTAGTCTCCTTTGGAGCTTTCCTTTTCATATCAAGGCTGATCCAAAGTTCCTTAGATTAATATTTCCCCAAAAAAGTATTTCCTAAAAATCAGGCACTAAATAGAGTACCTCAGGCTGTCCCTACTTGAGCCTTGGCATTGAGTCCTCAGACACTGGGCATCTCTTAATAGAGAACGCTTGGATTCCCGGTGGGCTGTTCATTCCAGAATGTTGAACTCCCCAACATGGTGGAGGAAACGCTTTCTCCTCTCCCCTCTTATAGTCAGTGCCTGGGCCCTGAAAATCACACTGTGTCTGCACATGGAGGCCTTCTGAAAAAAGAAGTGAAAATTCAAATACACAGCTGGAGGACTTCTATACCATTTTAACAAGAGCAATGAATTATGAAGATGAAACTAGATAAGAGGCCAGGAGCAATGGTGCACCCCTGTCATCCAGCAACTAGGGAGGCTGAAGCCTGAGGATCATAAGTTTGAGGCCAGCCTGAGCAACTTAGAAAGACCCTGTCTCAAAATAAAAGAAAACAAAACAAAAACACCAAGGACTGGAGATGTGACTCAGTAGTAAAGTGCCCCAGGTTCAATCCCCAGTATCAGACAGGAAAGAAGAGAAGAAAGAAAAAAAGAAAGACAGACAGACAGGTAGGCTTCTAGGAGTGGTAAACTTTTGGTGAAGTACCTTAGAACACATGGTCTTGTTGGAGCTTACCATTATTGCAGAATTATTTTGTTAAATATATAACCTGCCCCCTTTTATTTGTGGAAATCAGGGAGGAAGGGACAGAAGCCAAAGGTTGAACTCAGCTGGTTCAAAGCAGGTGTTCTGACGGGCGTGGTGGTGCATGCTGGTAATCCCAGCAACTTGGGAAGCTGAGTCAGGAGGATGGAAAATTCAAAGCCAGACTCAGCAACTTAATGAAGCCTTAAGCAACTTAAAAAGACCCTGTTTCAAAATAAAAAATAAAAAGTTTTGGGGATGTGGCTCAATGGTTAAGCTTCCCTGAGTTCAATCCCTGGTATCAGAGGGCGAGGGGAGCATATGTTCTTTCCCTTTCCTCCCTGACTTGGTTTACAGATTTACTCACTACATCGGCTTGTGTTGATGCTGCATCTGTCCACACCAGGGCCACAGGCTATTCCTATGTTCAGAGCTGTGTCTCTCCTCCTGAGGCCCTGGGACTTGCCAAAGCCCCAGGAGGAGATTCCCCTTTTGCTGGCCCATAGGGGTCTTCTGCTCTTTCCTGACTGTCCACCTGTTTTTAGCTTCTTGATAGTTACTTTGAAGCCTACCAGCACACGTTGGACCCTGAGGAAAGGTTTGCCTTAGCACAAGCGATGACTGACATTATGCATCGGCGCCCCAAATTTGATCTTGGCCACCCTTATTTCATTAAGGCCTACCAAGACGAATGCACCTGCCTGAGGCTTCACCTGCAGCTAATAAAGGGCATCCTCAACCGTCAGGTGAGTAGGGTTTTAAATATTGCATATGAAAAGGGAAGATGGAAAACATGAACCGGAAGATAATGTTTTCCTTTCATTGCTGCTGCAGAATCTGGGCTTTCTAGCACGTTTGTTTGTAAACTCATTTGCATTGCTGAATTCCAAGCATAACTCAGGTTTTTAATTTTTTTGGTTTTTGCGGTACCAGGGATGAAACCAGCAGCACTCTAACACTAAGCTTCATTCCCAATCCCGCCTTTTTTTTTTTTTTTTTTTTGCATGGAGAGACCCAGTCTTGCTAAGTTGCTTAAGGCCTCATTAAATTGCCCAGGCTAGCTTCAAACTTTCCATCCTTCTGCCTCAGCCTCCCTAGTCACTGGGATTATAGGCATATCCAAAATGCCTGGCATAATTAGGGTCTTACAGGGTGGTCTTCAATCCTATTTACTGTTAATTAGGTGCCTCAGTTTTCATGAGATCATAGAGCTTATCAATGCAGAAATAACTAATGATACATCTTTTTCAAGACATATAATATGGTGTCTCTTTAAAATTTTTGTGACTATTTTTAGGACACCGAAAGATATGATCCCATTGTACATCCTCTAGGGAAAAGCTGGGCATGAAGCAAGCAGGAAACAAAGGGTAGAATTTTTTCCAAATTGTGAAATATTTGACGTAAAGAAGTTTTTCTTTTGCCTCTGAACCATGGTTGCCTGTGCTTTCCTTGGCTTGGACGGAGAGACCAGAATGTCTCATTGCAATGAAAATTAGTCAAATGATAAAGAGACACAAAAGGATGTTGTTCTTCTCCTGTGAAGGCTCATAACTCACATCCACAGGAAAGTCTAACTCTTCTCATTGTGGCGCTTTATGCTACATTTTAGATGGAGTGCCAGCGGGAGTATGTCCAGAGGCTCTGGCGAGATGATCATCCAGATGATCGCAAAAAATTCGGACTTCCCCTTAACATCATTTGTAAGCAACTTATTTCCATCAACAACAGCTGGTAAGTTGGTGTTGTCTTTACATTTTGCATTTAACGTAGATTAATGAAGGGCATAATGTTAAATCTACTCCTCTAGGAAGCACCTCTCAGGTATTTGAAGAGATGAGAAATATATGTATAAAAGCCACAGAAGCAGAGAAATGCAAATCAAAACCACCCTAAGATACCATCTCACTCCAGTAAGATTGGCAGCCATTATGAAGTCAAACAACAATAAGTGCTGGCAAGGATGTGGGGAAAAGGGTACACTTGTACATTGCTGGTGGGACTGCAAATTGGTGCAGCCAATACGGAAAACAGTATGGAGATTCCTGGGAAAGCTGGGAATGGAACCACCATTTGACCCAGCTATTGCCCTTCTCGGACTATTCCCTGAGGACCTTAAAAGAGCGTACTATAGGGATACTGCCACATCAATGATCATAGCAGCACAATTCACAATAGCTAGACTGTGGAACCAACCTAGATGCCCTTTAATAGATGAATGGATAAAAAAAATGTGGCATTTATACACAATGGAGTATTACGCAGCACTAAAAAATGACAAAATCATGGAATTTGCAGGGAAATGGATGGCATTAGAGCAGATTATGCTAAGTAAAGCTAGCCAAGCCCTAAAAAACAAATGCCAAATGTCTTCTTTGATTTAAGGAGAGCAACTAAGAACTGAGCAGGGAGGAAGAGCATGAGGAAAAGATTAACATAAAACAGAGGCGAGTGGTGGGAGGGAAAGGGAGAGAGAAGGGAAATTGCATGGAAACAGAAGGAAACCCTCAACGTTATATGAAATCACATATAAGAGGTTGTGAGGGGAAAGGGGGGGGAAACAAGGGAGAGAACTGAACAACAACAGATGAGGTAGAGAGGGAAGATGGGAAGGGAGGGGAGGGAAGGGGGGATAGTAGGGGATAGGAAAGGTAGCAGAATACAACAGTCACTAATATGGCATTATGTAAAAATGTGAATGTGTAACTGATGTGATTCTGCAATTTGTATTTGGGGTAAAAATGGGAGTTCATGACTCACTTGAATCAAATGTATGAAAGATGATATGTCATGAGCTTTGTAATGTTTTGAACAACCAATAAAAAAATAAAATAAAATAAAATAAAAGCCACAGAAGAGGTATTCCCTTGAATATTGAATGTCCCTTTGCTTTGTAAATAATAAAGACTAGGTAGCTGGGATTTAAGCAGATCACTGGGTGCAGAATCACCATTCCCTTGTAAAGTCCTTGGGAAAAGGCAGCTGCTTTTGAAATGCACATAAGCCTACATATCTGACTTGGATGTGCTTGAAAGTTTTTCAAAAGGAATTTTTCTCTTCTAACAAGTGTCACTGCAGAGACCTCTGAACTTACCCCATTTTAAAAAAATTATTTCTTCTTTTTAGGTATACATGACAATAGAATGTATTTTCACATATTATACATACATGGAGTATAACTCCCCATTCTTGCAGTTGTACATGGTGTGCAGTTACACTAGTCATATATTCATATATTAACATAGGAAAGTTATGTCCAATTCATTCTACCATATTTTCTATTCTCATCCCCCCTCCCTTTCCTTCATTCCCCTCTATCTAATCCACTGAACTTGTATTCTTTCCCTCCTCCCCTTATTGTATGTCAGCACATCTAAATATCAGAGAGAACATTTGGCCTTTGTATTTTGGGGGTTGACTTATTTCATTTAGCAAGATAGCTTCAGTTCCAACCATTTACTGGTAAATGCCATAATTTCATTCCTCTTTATGGCTGAGTAATATTCTATTGTGTATATATACCACATTTTCTTAATCCATTCATCTGTTGAAGGGCACCTAGATTGTTGGTTTCATAGTTTGGCTATTATAAATTGAGCTGCTATAGCTGGGTGCGGTGGTGCATGCCTGTAATCCCAACAGTTCAGGAAGCTGAGTCAGGAGGATCGCAAGTTCAAAACCAGCCTCAGCAATGTCGAGGTGCTTGGCAAATCAGTGAGACCCTGGGGATGTGGCTCAGTGGTTGAGTGCTCCTGAGTTCAATACTGAGGACCAAATAAATAAATAAATAAATAAATACATAAATAAATAAATAGAGCTGCTATAAACACTGATGTGGCTGTGTCACTGTAGGATGCTGATTTTAAGTCCTTTGGGTATATACCAAGGAGTGGAATAACTAGGTCAAATGGTGAATCCATTCCGAGTTTTCTGAGGAATCTCCATACTGCTTTCCAGAGTAGTTGCATCAACTTTCAGTCCCACCACATCCTTGCCAACATTTACTGTGAACTCACTAAGGCAGAGTTCAGTTTCCTGAGACTTCTCAGAGAGGGTGCACATTCTGTCTCCTCCTCCCTATGACTCTTCCCTCTCTCCTCCTGCCCTCCAGTCTTTGAGGGTAAAGGGAACTGGGAAGTGGGTGTCAAGTTGCAAGTTGACCTGTGTATCCATAGATCAAAGTCTCTCCACTGCCTTCAAATGGGTGGAGAAATTGTCTAGCGTCTCTCAACATCCAACAAAGACTTGTTGCACCAGGCAGTGTGCCAGGACCTGGGGACACAGCTGTGAGCACAGGCATAGCCCTAGGCTCCTGGGAGGTGTCTATAGGAATGACAGAGTTGATGTAAGAAATTGCCATAATGGGCTATGGTATCATCTTGGGCACAGGCACAGTACTGAGGGAATTAATAGCTGAGGTTCTAACCTCGTTTCTTCAGAAACAGCCCTGGGAGCTTCGGATGCAAAACTCTGCCTTTTCTCCCTAGTACTTTTTCAGGACTGATATCTTCACTGTAATGAACTTGAGACTCCAGCTGTGTATACAGCTTGCTATGGTGAGAATCTACCATTCAGGAAATGATTTTTGGCTAAGGTTATATGGATACTAAAACCTGTCAGAATCATCTCAGATGCAAATGCTACTTGTCTGATGAGGATCCTTTCTGGATTTGGGGCTCTTTCTTAAGATCCAGGACTAAGGAGAATTCCATTTGTATGAGTTTAAAGGAAAACATTTAAGTCCTTCGGTTCTATGTAAATGTCTTGTCCTAGAGCCTTTATTTCCAAAGTAATAATAACTCACAGATAAGCATTTTATTGTTTCTGGCCTCTGTTTCTGAAATATAACATTCTTGCCACAAGTATGAATAATTCCAGCAGTTGAATAAAAATGTTTAAAATTGTCTTTGTCCATTAACATTTTTGGCAGGGGAAGATAAAAATTCAAGTGAAAAAGAAAAACTTATAACCATGAAAATTATTTTTAAATTTTATTTTGTTTTCAGATATCTGACTAGATATTGATGACTGAATGGCTGACAGTTTTGACATCTTTTATTCTGAGATGGCTTTCACTATGTAGCCCAGGCTGGTTTTGCACTCCTGGATTCAAGTGATCCTCCTTCCTCAGCCTTCCAAGTCCTGGGTCTATCCGTGCACGAAACAGCACCAGGATCATACATAATCTTCTTCTTTTAGAGCTTTTAGAATACATGTCTATTTCTTTCCCTTTTAAAGGGTACCTGTTAAAGCAAAGAACATATATGTAACCCTGGATGGGCCTCTGAGGTCCCTCTGGATTCCTAGTTCTTTATAATGCTCTGGATCTATAGAAGCTATATCATTAGTCTTTAAAAATCTAAAATTCAAATATCTTTGTTGCATAAGATTACCATTCAGTTTTCCTCTTCTTTCAGCCCAGATTTGAAAAACGTTTATTTGTTGGAGTTCCACCCTTCCCTCGGCCTGGCAGGGTTGGTCCCCAAAGCCCTGGAGCACCTGTTCAGTGAGGCCTGCCGCACCTGCAGGCCCACATCACCCAGTGGCCTCGCCTCGCTGGAGCAACACATCCTGCAACTGGCTCTGAACCTGTGGCTCGCACCAACCAAGCCCGAGAACTGGTACAGCGAACAGCTCCAGAAAGATGTGGGTTCCTTCTGCAGGGGGTAGTTTGGGTTCTTGGCAAGAGAACACTTCCTTCCAGATGTTACTGTTTAGCTCTGTTTTTCTGCTTGGCTCTATACCCTTCTTTTTGGCCAGAGATGGATCACAGTGCTAGGCCTTGCCAATAATTTTATGTGATTTTCTTTTTTTGGTCTAAGTTTCTAGTTTATAAGACTGCTGCTACAATTAAAATTAAAAAGGAGATTATGTAGGTATGGGAAAATATTTTCTGGTTTATTATTTACAACAAAACATGTTTTTATTAAAAATTACATATTTTCTTCTAAGACTCTTCCTAGAATTTGCTCTGTTTGTCTTGAGTCAAACTCTGGTGGAGGAGAGAGAATACTGAGTTTTTGGACTTCAGTTGAGTCCTATCATTAACCTGCTGAATCTGGGCAACTATTTTAGGCTTTCTGAGCCCTACTTTTCTTGAAATTTTATGTTTGTATATTTGGGGAGAAATTAACAGAGGTAAGCTGGATGACCTTGAAAGTCCTTTTTTCTAATGCCCAGTGATTCTAACTGTGGCCTAATGATTTATATGGTATCCTTAGTTGGATTTTAATCTCTTTCTTTCTTTTCTTTTATATTAAGTCTATCAAGATTGAGCCTGGGTTTCCAATTTGATGTTACTCTGTGGGGCACTTGCTATATGATAGAAAAAAACATCTGCTCCATGCTTCTGTCTTATCTTCTTATCCTCCCCCTCCCAAACTAAGACTTGATGTGATTTAAAATTGATTAGATAATATAAAATAATATAAAATTAAAGAGAATTTAGCAGAAGAGGGAAAACAAAATTTAACCACTCAAATACATTCAATATTTTTCTGAGTTCATGTATTTTTCACATGCCTGTTTGACATAGTTACAAACATATCTTTCATACACTGTTATCTTCTATTTTTCTTAGTGAATATTATACTATACATTTTCCTGTGTTACTAACTAGTCTTTTCACTCACTTTTATGACCACATCGTTCCCTTACATGATGAATTATAACCACTCTACCCATTTCCCTACTGATGGGCATTTGAGTTTTTCATCATTATTAAAAATACTAAGAAGTACATCTTTATGCTTAAGGATTTTTCCGAATTTTGAACTGATTCCTTTGATAGATTCTTGGAAGTGGAATTGCTGAAATGAAATTTAAATCTTTAAATGCAAATTGGCAGATTATTTCCTGAAAGAGCTGTGCCAACTTATGTTGCTACCAACAGAGGGCCAGTTCAGCTATAGCTCACAAGGCCGGATTTGGTGAAAACATACAATGCATGTGCTCATCTAACCTAAACGTAAAATGGCAATATGCTTTTAATTTACATTGCAATTTATTGAGATTATTTTTTCAAATGTTTGGTTATTAGTTATAATCTTTGCGACATTTCTGTTCTTTGTTGATTTTTCTGTTGAAATCCTAATGCCATTCCTATCCACTTACATGAGCTTTTCTATCATATGTCTATCATATTTTCTGCAAGTATTTCCCCCATTTGTCTTTTAACAGAAAATTTTTATTTTCATTTAGTCAAATCTGTTGATCATTTCCTTTGTGATTTCCTCTATCCTTCTAGACGCAGTGAGAAAATCTTCCTCCAGATGTTTCAAATTTTCTTATTTTATTCTAATTTTAAAGGTTTGCTTTTGTTTTTAAAATATTTAACTCCTTTAATATTTCACTCAAGTGTGTGTGTGTGTGTGTAAAGTATGAATCAAAATTGAGTTTTTCTTCAAATTATCAGCCATTTATTCTACTATCATTTACTGAAGATTCTTTCTACATTGTCTTATGGTGCTGTTTTTTTAATATATTTCAAATTTTCTCATAAATCATAATGAATACCTGGGATATCTGTCTAGTCTCCTATTGATGTATTATTATTATTATTATTATTAGTAGTAGTAGTAGTAGTAGTAGTAGTACCAGAAACTGAACCTAGGGCCTTGCAAATGATAGGCAAGTGCTCTATCTTCTGAGTGACACCCCCAGCCCTTAATAATCATTTTTGAAACGTGTTCAAATCTGTACTTAGAAATGCTAAATATTCAGCCAGATTTTTTTTGTATTAGGTTAGAAAGTGGGGGAAGTGTTACTCCCAGAAGACATGCAAGAATTTAATACTGTCTTAGGTATCCTGCTAGAAGACATCAAGGGTCTAGGAAAGGCATCCTTGAGTACACACATCCTTTGGCAGAGAAGTAGGTAGATGAGGAAGCTGGTGAACCTTGGGGGACCAAACCAGGAAAGGCAGATAGAGAGTCCCCAAACTTAGTCCTTGTTGGGGGTGGTACTTTAGGGGACAACAGAGATGTCAGAGCAGAGTTACCCATGAGGGAAGCACCACATGGCATTAAAGGACGTTTTGTGACTTCACAGATTACCCAGGGCCAGCTCTAAGTATGGGGAGGGAGTCCTGTGAGGACCGTTGGGTGTCCTGTCAAACCGTTGGACACGGCATTAGGAAGCTCAGTTTCCTCCAGATACCCCTGGGCTTGGTATAGAGGGGAGGAGAAGAGAGAGATTACTGAGTTATGTTTTAATTATAAGCACTAGATTATGGTAAGACATCAAGTGACAGGCTCCATACATGGGAAAAATATGGAACTAGAGAATCGGATGCCAACGTGTATGAGTGCTGTCGTATTCTGGAAAGCGTCAATGTTGATTCCTTGTTGGCAAAGGTGGATAATGGTGTCTGTGGTGCCTAATTCCTGGGGTGGGAGAGTGTCTGGCAAAAATAAAAATGAGTTAATATGTGTGTAAATACTTGAAATTTTGAAACTGCAATTAGAGGGATTTATAAAAAATTCTTGGCCACCAAAATAATTTTTAAGATCAGGGACTTATTTTTCTATTTAGATTATTGTTGTCTTTATTTAGACTGAAAACATTTACAATAATGATAACAGCAAATGTCTTTGTGTATGTTAACACAGCCCTATTAGGTAGTCATTATCTGGTAGTATCTAGTAGATATTGTTATTATTTTTATCCCTACTTTACAGAGATGGTATCAGGGCTGGGACTTGAGCTCAGGAAATCTGGACCCAGAGTCCATGCAATGACAGCATTTCAAAAAATATATATATATGAAGTCTTTTGTGTGTGTGTGTGTTTTGAAAGGTACTTTGCATTCTTTCAGCTGTTTTCAGCTAGAGTGATGGGAGATCCCTTTCTCGTGGAGGAGACAGGCCTGCTTGCACTCACATCCGCAGCAGACGAAGGACAGAAACAGGGCCAACAGCCTCACATGCTGCTCCTGGAGACATTTTCCAAACTTCTGGAACTCCTGACTCTCCGCCACCGTCTGATCGCAATGAGTCTTGAGAGTGCACACCTAGCTCGGTTAGTAGGGGGGCCAAGGAGCCAGGTGAGAGGTGAGACGTGAGCATTACGGCAAAATGAGGGGAATGAATGACAGGACCCCCGGGCCTCCCCATCTATAAGCCTTGCCCCAGAGTGAGTTTTCTAATTGGTTAAAGTGATCACTTAGCATGTTCTAAACCTCACCTGCATGTACATCTCTGACCACTCAACTAGCTAAGTCCTCCCAGTGGCCCCTAGGTTTCCTTTCTATTCAGCACATGACTTTTTTTTTTTTTTTTTTTTTTTTCTGGTAATTGAACTCAGGGGCATTCGACTACACTAAGCCACACTCTCGGCCCTATTTTGTATTTTATTTAAAGACAGGGTCTCACTGAGTTGCTTAGGACCTCACAGTTGCTGAGGCTGGCTTTGAACTCACGATCCTCCTGCCTCAGCTTCCCAAGCTGCTGGGATTACAGACATGCGCCGCCGTACCCATCCGTAGCACATGACTTTTTAATTGATGTTTAATACTGGTTTACTAGTTTTTCTGCTAGCATCTGTTCCCTGAATGCAAAAAGCCCTGTCCACGTTGTTTACCATGATATCCCATTACCTGGTCTCTTAGTCTGTTTTGTGCTGCTATAACAGAGTGTCTGAGACTGGGGAATTTTTAAAGAATGGAGATTTATTTCTCCTGGTTCTGGAGGTTGGGAAGTTCAAAGTTGAGAGGCTACATCTGCATCTGATGAGGGCCTTTTTTTTTTTTGGTACCAGGAATTGAACCCATGGGTGTTTAACCACCTAACCACATCCCCAGCCCTTTTAAAAAATATTTTATTTAGAGACAGAATCTCACTGAATTGCTTAGGTCCTTGCTAAGTTGCTGAGGCTGGCAACTTATCATGATCCTCCTGCCTCAGCCTCCCAAGCAGCTGGGATTACAGACGTGCACCACCATGCCAGGCATCTTTTTAAAACAATTAAAATATATATATATATATATGTATGTATATATATATATATGTGAATGACAGTAGAGTGTGTTTTGACATGTTATACATACACGGAGTATAACTTCCCATTTTTGTGGTTGTACATGATTTGGAGTTACGCTGGTCATATACTCATATGAACTCCATTTTTTTCTTTCTTTTTAAAAATTTGTTCGTCTTAGATATACATGTCAGTAGACATATTTATGTAAACATGGAGTGTATCTTATTCTAATTGGAATCCCAGTCTTGTGGTTGTACATAATATGGAGACTGATTGTGGTGTATTCATATATGTACATCAGAAGGTTGTGCCAGGTTCATTCCACTGTCCCCCTTGATCTCACACACTTATTCTCCAGAACTCTGAGACAATATATTTCTGTTGTTTAAGCTACTAAGCACTTTGTGTGTTTCTGTGGCACTTCATTACAGCAACCTGAGCAGACTGACACAGGTGCCAATTGAACTTCCGGCATCAACTTCTCAAGATGAGAAATGTGTGAGAACAGGGGTATGGAGACTGGGAGAACATTGTAGACATGTAAGGCTGAGATGCCAGAGGGCCACCTGGCATCTGCCACACTGCAAGCCATGGAAACCTGGGACTGGGGCTGAGAGTTGAGTCAAGTTAGACATGGGAGTCACAGAGTCTTATCCAAGGGTGTGATATTAGGGCCTGGGGTTGGATCGTCGGCTCAAGGAGGGGATGCAGTAAATGAGAAGGGAGTCAGGTCTTGAACTCAGGAAACACCAGAATTTGAAAATGAGGAAGATTGGGCAGGAGCAGGAGCACGGTGATCTTGGATCTGGGACAGCACAGATGTTCTTTAAGGACAGGGTAGAGAGGCCAGCCAGGAACCGCATGCGAGAAAATGGTGAATGTTGAATGGGGAGTGACATTGGTGACCTCGTGAGGGCTCTGGAGACAGAAACCAACCTGGAGGAAATGAGAGTGATGGAAGTGCCCAAGCGAATCTCCTTCTACTTTGACTGTGTTCTGCAGCCCACAGTGGTCACAGCAAGAGCAGAATGCAAGGCCTTGGGGCTCATTCACTTCTCACACTGTATTTGGCCAACTTTTGTTTGACTTTTTGCTTTTGTGCTTTTTTAAGTGTCTTGGTTTTATTATGGTTACTTTCCTTCAGGAGAAAATATTAACCCATGGCCTTGGCTCTCCTTTGCTTTTAGGCACTATAAGGAATTGGCTGAGGAGATGGGGTTTGAAGAGTTCCATTTATATCTGAGGCCCGTTCACTTTGAATGTGCATCACCCAGGGACAAGGTGGACCGGCCACCTCTTGCCTTTATAACATCTCTGCTGGAGCACAGTGGTCGGCTAGACAGGTGAGCCTGGGAGGGCCGGAGTGAAAAAAAAAAATTACTATAATGGTGGAATAAACAACCAGTGGGAACAAATTATTTCACCCATGGACAAACAAGATGAATTGCACTTCTAAGTTCTCTTTCTTATGCCCCATCTGCCATGTCAAGCACATTGCCAGAAATAAACCCCGTTTATCAGCTATAGACCTTGAATCTACTGAGTTGGGGGAAGGAATCTTCTCCCTTCTACAGAAGCAGCCTTTAATGTGTGGGGAGGAGAAACTTCTGCCTCTCTCTTCTTGCCTTCTCTGCTAGTCTGCCCTTTCCCCTGGGGTCCCAGCTGTCTCCCTGGAGGTTTATGGTATTGGCTCTGCCCCAGGGAAGGCAAAGGTGACTCCCAGGAGGGAATCACTCTAGTTTTGCTAATGTGGATCACTGCTCTAATTATAACTCTGATATGCTGACATGCTAAAGGACTCCTCAGCGTGTGGCTGGAACAAAAAGGGTTAGGATGGTAGAATACAATACCCCCAGATTACCCAAGGCACTGTGGAAATTTTGGACTGGATAAGTCTTCGTTGGGGGAGGGAGACATCCTGTGTGTCTTAGATAGTTTAGGAGCCTGCCTGACTTCCACCCTCTAGATGACAGTAGTACCCCCACCACATACTCTATCCTCCCCAAACCCCCACCCTTTGGCTCTTCCTGACAATCAAAGATGTCTCCAGACATTGCCAAATAATGCTGTGGAGGCAAATCTCCCTGACTCTATTTTGTCACTAGTTAAACCAAACCCAGAATGCACTGACGATACAGAGCTATGCCACGGAAGCCAAGGCAGGAAGTGTGGTCAGACTCAGGTCTCCAACTGACAAAAGTCAAGTCAGAAGCCAGGCTATCTACCGGTTCCTCAAGGGCCTTCTGCTCTGAAAATAGGAGACCTTTTTGTTCAGCTGGAGTCCACCAATCGGCACAAATTGCCTGAATGTGCTGTACTCTGGTCAGGTGGTGATTGGTCCTCCAGTGATGATCCAGAGATGCTACAAGACAAGAGGAGCCTTCTGAATCACCAGGGGGGAGGTGCATGCATCTAGAACACTTGTGTCTTGAGTTTGTATTATGTTATCTATGTTAATTCCCTGAAGCCATCACTTTGGAGGGCCACTGTAACAACCGCATAAGCCAGATATGAGAACAGTGACTTCCGTTTTAAAAAGCACATTTATGCACACTACCCTGTTTCGTATTTCCATGACCCTATGAGATGAGCAATATCCTCATATTTACAGGAGGAAACAAAAATTGACTGATATTAAATTACCCAACAAAATCTCATAGTTATAGACAATAGACCATGTCCCAAGATGAAAATGTGACTGCAGAAAATATTTGGGTGACTTTTGGAACCACAAGAGAGTGAGAATTAGACAACATTTAGGGTGTGTTCCAAGGAGGAAGTCAGCAAGGTGTCCTGAGCAGGTGCGGTCAAGAAGGTGGGAGCAAAATAGGAGGGATCAGGAGAAAAGAATTTCAAACATGGAATGGTTACCACCACCGAACTGCAGAGTAAGGACTGAAAAGACTCCAGAGGCCTTACAGGTTTTTGTTTTGGTTTTTTGGACCAGGAATTGAACTCAGGGACACTCAATCACTGAGACACACCCAGCCCTATTTTGTATTTTATTTAGAGACAGGGTCTCACTGAGTTGCTTAGGGCCTCGTTGTTGCAGAGGCTGGCTTTGAACTCACGATCCTCCTCCCTCAGCCTCCTGAGCCACTGGGTTTATAGGTGTGCACCACTGCACCTGGTGAGCCCTTCCAGTTTTAAGGTTGAAATATCTTATATAAAACCCGCAATTGCTGGTGCTGCTGATGTTCCAGATCTGATCTCATGCCATTTGTGCCATCCGAAGGGGCATCTCCTGACACATACTATGTCACATCAAAACACTTGAATCGAAGTGTGAAATATGATATGTCAAGAACTATGTAATGTCTTGAACAACCAACAATAAAAATTTTTTAAAAATTAAAAAAATAAAACCATATGGTACCTATTAAAAAAAATTTTAAAAAAACAACCTCATATTTCTTCTTGCAGATATTCTCCCACTACACTTGCCTTAGCCATCTCTGAGGTGGATGATAACCAAGTTGGCAAATTTAGTTTTTATACGAAAGAAGCCATCCTTAAGGTCAGTTATTTATTTATTTTTTCCAAAAGAAACTGAAGCAAAATAAAGAATTTGCTTATGTGTTTTTTAAATCAATATTTAATTCACATATATTGACTTCCATTTTTAAGAAATGCTTTACTTCAATGGTAATAACAATGGTATCACCTTGTCCTTGTGCGCATTGACCTGGTTTGAACCATGTAGACTGTAACACTCGTATAATGGCTTCTTTAGATAGAAAAAAGAAACACATGTAGAGGGCCATCTTTGCATCAGGCTTTTAAAATATACACTTATTATTTGGAGTTTTTATACGACCTTTTTAAACTGGATGGATTTCCCCCGCCCCAACAGTTGGATTTCTTTGCTTCTCTATGTGTTTTTGGATTTTTCTTTTCTTTTCTTTTACCATGGATCTAATCTTGGCTCACCAGAGCCCACCACTGTACTTCATCAGAGCCTGCCCATCCTCTCCTGACCACTGGAGAAACCTCATGGTGTCCCGGTACAGGGCAAACCAGGCCTAAGGACTGCCTTGCTGGGATGAAATGCTGTTGGGGAAAGAGCAGATTCAGTCTCGTGGCTGAGGAACAAGGATCCCAGCTCATCCTGCAGTTAATTCATACATGAATTTATGTGTTGAATAAGTGATGATCTCAACCTTTAACTTCGCCGATTTGTGGAAGCAATTCCTAATGCCTTTCACATTTTCTTCCTTCAGCTCTTGTCCCAGTCTGGAGTGGAAAATATGCAAGTGACCCTCGCATGTCAAGCCGCTCAGAAAAATGCTTTGATGGTGGCAGTTCAACAAGCATCCCTCTATCACAGGACAGTGGGCTGTCCTGCTGAGGTCAAGGTCAGCCTACATAATGCAGAAGCCAGACTCACGCTGCCGCTATCACCAGCTCCCCCTTCTTTCCCTCCCCCATCCCTCCTTCTTAGTATGTTGGTGATTGGTTATAGTGAAAGTCAATGTCCATTGGTTATGTCCAGTGAGGTGATGTAATTGCAGCTGGACATGTTCTTTCCTTTCCTTCCTCCTTTCCTCCCTTTCCCCTCTCAGTCCCTTTTTTCCTCTTTCCTCTCTGTATAGGACAAACAAACTTAGATTCAGTTTCTCATCCTATATACTCACAAGACAAATCACCCTGTGACCTCAAAAGGTGTGGGGACTTCTCCCCACCAGCAAGCAAGCAATGAATTCTGCAGAGGACGCCAGCTGGGCATCCTCTCATTCAATTCAGTTCTGACACCTTCTACCTGAATGTAGCATCAGATCCCACAGGTGAGGGCTCAGTCCTAAGACTGCTCCCATTTCAGATCCAGTCACAAGTCTGGACCAACAGAACTTCTGGCTGACTGGCTACAAACTGGGGTTCCCACAACCACATTCCCAAGTTTGAGTACATTATGCCTGCTTCCCTCCACCTTCTGAGTTTCAAGTATTTCTTTTGCCAGTTGGATCCTTATCACCTAGATTCTTTTTTTTCTTTCTTTTTTATTTCCTGTACTGGGAATTGAACCCAGGAGACTTTACCACTGAGCAACATCCCCAGCCCTTTTAATTGTTTATTTTGAGACAGGGTCTCACTAAGTTGCTTATGGCCTTGCTAAGTTGCTGAGGCTGGCCTCAAACTTGTGATCCTCCTGCCTCAGGCTCCCAAGTCACTGGGATTACAGGCATGCACCATGTGCTGGGCCCTACCTGTAGGGTATATTCTTGATTCATTTGCTCCCAACTCTTCCGAGACCTTGCTTCATAAGTATGGCGAGTGGTGCTATTAATAATTATTCAGAGGTGGATTGTCTTTAAATGCAAGCATATATTTGATAACGCCAATCATCAAATATAAACAATTAATGCAAAAAGTGTTGGGTGTGCGGGAGCACCTCAACTAGCATTCAAAGCACACTAATTAAACACTATAAGCAAATCACACAATCCCAGGGCAACCAAGATTCCCAAAATACCTCTGATGCCATGCAACTTCTTTTAGCCAAAGAGCAGATGTTGTCTTTGTCTGGTGGTTCTCTCCAGTCAATGGCTGGACATCAGGGAAGGGTGGAGCCAGTCCAGAGATGGACAGCAAAGCAGCCAGCCTCACTGATGTCCTTGGCCAGAACTCTTTGATGTGGCAGGACCAGCAATTTAAATACAGTTCCAAGTTGGTGGTGTATGTTGGTGATTGGTTATAGTGAAAGTCAGTGTCCACTGGTTATGTCCAGTGAGGTGATGTAATTGCAGCTGGACATGTTCTTTGTGCATGTCCACGGAGCTGTGCTCCCTATCAATTGTAACCATTCATTGCTAAGCATGTCTATGGCCAGTGCCCCTCACAGCTCTTTATCAGTTTCAAGCAGACAGGACTAAGCAGTTCAATGGCTGCTGGTCCTATGGCCACCAGCATGTCCCAGAATGTCTATGGAAGATGCTCCTTACAATCAGCTACCTGCTTTCTCTACTTCACTTTCAACTCTCCAATTATGGACAGGCTGAACTGTTTTCATTCTCTCCATAAAGCTTGTTGTCCTTGTCCTATGTGCCTCTCTCGCCAGTACCCTGATTAGGATCTCTTCTTCACATTTATGCTTACTGAAAGGATAGTTTTTAACTCCTTGTCTTCCTGTCCTAACACCCTAGGTACTATAGCTGCACTCCCTCCTCCATCACCCCTCTCTCACTAGATTCAGCCTTGACTTTTTTTTTTAAAGAGCGAGAGAGAGAATTTTTTTTAATATTTATTTTTTAGTTTTTGGTGGACACAACATCTTTGTATGTATGTGGTGCTGAGGATCGAACCCGGGCCGCACGCATGCCAGGCGAGCGCACTACCGCTTGAGCCACATCCCCAGCCCAACTTTCTTATTAATTAACCCAGAAGATGCCGTTTAGCAACTTGACCTGACTTCTTTCCTCCATTTAATGCTGTTGACTACCACCTTATCCTTGAGGCTCTCCTTCCTCCGCTTGCCTGACTCCACTGTCTCCTGGCTCTCTTCTGTCTCTTTGATTGTTCCTTCTCAATCTCTTGGAGTGGGACCTCTCTTCTCTCCCAGCTCTTAGATGTTGGTGTTTCCCTCTATTGTGCCTCAGAACTCCTTGGCTCTTCCCTTATCTGTCCTCCATGGCTATTCTCATCACCTCTTGTGATTTAAAACCTGTATATCCGAAACCAATACATGATCAACTTTCAAAAGTACATCACGTCATAGAATCTCTCTACTAAACCCCAAACTTGGGTGTCCAAGTACCCGTTAGTTAGACAACTTTAGTGAATCCCATAGGCATCTCAGTTCAGCATGTACAAAGGGAACTAATTTCTCTCCATATGGTTCTCTAGTATTTCCATTCTTGGTTAAGTGATCTTTATCTGAATAGTCATTTGGGCCCCAAACCTCAATCACCCTTAATGTCTCTGGTTTCCTTACCTTGGATCATACACTCAATCATTAACTCTTACCAATATCATATTGTAAATATTGATTGAATATGCCCCTTTTCTCCATCTGCATTGCTTTAGGTTAAACTCTCATTATCTTTTTTTTTGTGTGTGTGTGTGTGTGTGTGTGTGTGGTGCTGAGGATTGAACTCAGTTCCTTGTGCATTTGAGGCAAGCACTCGACCAACTGAGCTATATCCTCATTATCTCATTTTTATGGTTATAATGGCCTTTGAACTAGCCTCCACCTCCTGGGCCCTTGCCTTGTACCACCACATCTGCCTCCAGTCAAATTTCCCTTTCACACAGTGACCAAAGAATCCACGCCTTCAGTGACTCTGTATAGTCCAAAGAGCAAAGCTCAACCTCCCTAGCTATGTATGCATGGTCTTCACTACCCAACCCCGGCTTCCAATCCTGCCACTTCCCCTGCACTCTAAGGGCCCTAAATATTTTATGCTGTTTCACATCTCCATGGTTCTGTTCAGATTTCCCCATAATATTTTTCCTTTCCTTTCAACAGTCTATCTTCCCTGCCCACCACTTTTGCTTTTGTTTATAGGATGCTACTCATCCTCCGATATTCAACTCAACCCAGTTATTACTTCTTTCAGGAAGTGTTCATGTCTATTTTAACTCTGTTAAAGTGAATTTTGTGACTCCTTCTTAAAAGTATACTGTGAATGAGTGTGTGTGTATGTGTGGGTGTGTGGGTGTATACACACATACACATACACAGACATAACATACACAGGTAGTATGTGTGTAGCTTCTCTTATAATCACAGGACAAGAAGGGGAGTGGTGACAAAACCAGAAGGAATAAATTCTCGATACAATAAAAGGGGACAAAAGGAAGGGAAGGAGGAGAAAAGAGAGAGAGAACACAAAATCAAAGGAAATATTTCAAGAAAGAATGAGTCACCAAAGATGTAGGTGACAAATATGAAAAGATGTTCAACATGATTAGTCATTAGAGAAATGCAAATTAAACCCACTGAGAAACATTTCATATCCATTTGAATGGTTAAGGTTTCCGACTGACCATCCCAAACGTTGGCAAGGATGTTGAGGATCTGGAACTCTAGTACACCGTTAGTAGGAAAATAAAATGGTACAACTCCCTTGAAAAATGGTTTGGCAATTTCTTAAAAAGTTAAACATAAACGTACAATGTGATCCAGCCATTCCATCCCTAGGTATGTAACCAAGAGAAATGAGTATATGTGTCTGTACAAAAAAAAAAAAATGTTTATAGACGCTACATTCATTATAGTCAAGAACTCAAATGTCCATGAATGGTGGAATGGATAAATAAATTGTGATACATCCTACAATGGACTACTAGTAGACAATAAAAAGAAATCATTGATATGTACAAAAATATGGATGAAGTCCAACCAAAAAGAGTATTACTGTATGACTCTATTTATGCAAAATTGTAGGAAATTGATTCTAACCTAAAGTTTCAGAAGGCAGAACAGCTACTGTGTGCAGAGGTATGTGTCAGAATCACAGTAACTTGGGAGGTTGAGGCAAAAAGATCACAAGTTCAAGGCCAGCCTCAACAACTGAGAAAACTATTTTAAAAAATAAATAGATAGATAGATAGATAGATAGGGTTGGAGATGCAGCTCTGTAGTAAGGTATCCCTGGGTTTAATTCCTAGTACGAAATTTAAAAAAAGAAAGAAAGAAAGAAAGAAAGAAAGAAAGAAAGAAAGAAAGAAAGAAAGAAAGAAAGAAAGAAAGAAAGAAAGAAAAGAAAGCAAACCAGTGGTTGCTTGAAGAGAGCAGGTGGGAAGGATGGCTTTGGTGATTAGTTTGATTGTGATAATGGTTTCACAGTTGAATAAATTTGTCCAAACGTATCTGATTTTACACTTTAAATATGTGATGTTTATTAAGTGTAAATTATTCCTCAATAAAGTTATCATTTTAGAAAGAAAGAATTCTGTAAGTTTGAATAGAGTGGTAAAACCCAGATGGTTAGGGATTAAAATGAGGTCATTAACTTGCTCTGCTGACGCCAGAGCAAGTCTACTAATTGTTTTGGAGTAAAAGCTCCAGAGAGGGCCAGAGTTAAGGAGCAAGCAGCTGACAGAAGTGTCCAAGGAGTGTGTATTTATGGCTCTTGCATCAGTCTGCTCATACTGCCACAATAGAACACTATAAACTAGGTGACTTCAACCACTGAAATCTACCTTGTCACAGTTCCGGGGTGAGAAGTTCAAGATCAAAGTGCCATCGTGGTTGGTTTCTGGTGGGAGCTGACTTTGTGGCTGGCAGACGGTAGCCTTCTGCTGTGTTCTCTTATTAAGGAGTGAAGAAGGTGGTAGGGATGCGGGTGAGGAGAATCCATCAGGGTCAAGTCCTGTTTCCCCAGATGTGAAGACTGAACACCCAAAAAATGCAGAGGCAAGTGTAGAAGCAAGTTTTATTAAAGGATGGGACAAAGGTAGACTTCTCTGCGGAGAAGGGGCCCCTGAGCTGGTTGCCTGAGGAAGTGGGAGTGTCCTGCCCCTTTTATACATTTTGGAATTCCTTTCTTTTCTTTTCACGGCCTCTCTCCCACCATCCTGCATACAAGTGACCTGACAGGTGACCAGAAGGTGGGCCAAAGGTGGATTGATCCAGGCAGGAAGGGAGCAGCCCACGGGGCATTAATTAACAACTTCTACAACTCCCTGCAGGGAGGCGCAATTCTCTGGAGGCAGGTCACCTTGGCAACAGTAGGAGGAGGGGGAAGTGTTCTGGAGGTAATTTTCTGACCCAAATATTCCTTCCCTACACCGACTGTCTTTTTGTCCCCTGGCCTCAGGGGGAAGCAAGGAAGGGAGAGTGCTGAGATCTCTTGCCCTTTGTATTTGGGCACTAGCCCTGTTGGATTAGGGCCCTACTTCCATGACCTCATTTAAATTTCCCACCTGCCCAAGGCCCCATCTCCAAACACCATCCTCTTGGGGGTTAAAACTTGAACACGTGAATTTTGGAGGGACACAAACACTCAGCCCATAGCAGTTCTTTAAGAAGTTTGGTCAGAATTGAGGAGGAAAGTTGAGGGAGTAGGAGAAATAAGGAGCAATGAGAGAGGTGGACACATTTGTAGGAAGGAGTTGGAAAAAAGAGGAAGGAATTGAAGATGGAACTGAAGGGAGAGTGCCATGAGGCGATCAGGAGCCCCTGTGGGCAGGCTGGCAGGAAGCTAAGCGATGTAACTATGTGGGCTCATGGAATCCTCTGCAGCCCCAGGGGATGGGTTTGGTTCCAGGTGAGGAAGCAGATTCTGAGAGGGGAAGGAAGAGGGACAAGGTCACCTGCCAAGTGCCAGCATCAGAATCTCCTGCAGAGCAAGGACTCTTCCCTCTCTTCTCACTCACAACCATGTAGGACCTCTCCAGTTTCCTGAGCTGGTAGAGACTCCTATTTAGGAAGTAGAGACTTCCTAAACCCTGGAAGACTCCAAGGGTTTTCAGGAAAAAAATAAGGTTGGAAACTCTTGAGTTGTTCTACCTAGGATTTTTTTTTTTCTTTTTGCCTCACTCTTCTTCCATCTCCTTTAGTAATTCTGATATAGGGATCTCCTTGATTCTTCCATAGAAGAAGAATGGACTTTCCTTTGAAGATTTAACCTTCTTTAGTTTAGAAAAATATACCGTTCATTGTGCCTCACAGCTCCATAACAAATGGAGCTGGAACATTGGAAGATACTCATTTTCCTTTTTTCTTTCCCACTCCTCCTTCCCTCCTTCCTCACCTCTTCCTCCTTCTGCTTCCCTCCCTCACTCCCTCTTTCCCTCCTTCTTAACCACAGGGTGCATGGCAGCATTTATTTATTTTTAAGATATTTTTATTTGTTCTAATTAGTTATACATGACAGTAGAATGCATTTTGATACATCATACATAAATGGAGTATAACTTCTCATTCATCTGGTTGTACATGATGTGGAGTTACACAGGTCATGTAATCTTATGTGCACACATAGGGTCATAATGTCTGATTCATTCTACTATCATTCCTATCCCTGTGCCCCCTTCCTCCCTTCACTCTCCTCTGTCTAGTCCAAAACACCAATATTCTCCCCCATCCCCATTGTGAATTATCATCCGCATATCAGAGAAAACATTCAGCTTTTGGTTTTTTGGGATTGGCTTATTTTGCTTAGCATAGTATTCTCCAGTTCCATCCATTTACCAGCAAATGCCATAATTTCATTTTTCTTTAAGGCTGAGTAATATTCCATTGTGTATATACAGTTTCTTTATCCATTCATCTGTTGAAATGCATCTAGGTTGGTTCCATAGTTTAGCTATTGTGAGTTGAGCTACTATGTGGCTTCATCATTGTAATATTCTGATTTTAAGTCCTTTGGGTATATAAACTGAGAGTGGGATGACTGGGTCAAATGGTGGTTCTATTCCAAGTTTTTTGAAGATTCTCCATACTGCTTTCCACAGTGGTTGCACTAATTTTCAGTCCCACTGGCAATGTATGAGTGTACATTTTCCACCATATCCTTGCCAACATTTATTGTTGCTTGTATTCTTGAGGATTGGCATGGCAGCATTTAAATCCCACCTCCATTTGCTTAGGTGCCCTGAGGGAATCTTCCAGATCTTGTAGCTGTGAAATCCATCAGCATTATTTCTTGAAAGGTTACTCCACACAGCACACTACTCCTAACCACTTTGTAGAATGGAGAATTTTTCTTATAGCGCTTTAGACAACAGTACTCTATTCTGAAAATAGCCCTCCTTAGTGCCTCGCCCCTTTGTTGTGCAAAGTGGTATCTCTTTTCCTCTTCTTCCTCTCCCCTTCTCCTCCTCCCATTTACTCAGGCATATACTTGTGCTTGGGGTCAGTTGTGGCTGTGATGTAATTTTATAGGGAGCACTTATACATCTAACCAATTTAATTCACAATGATTTAAAATATTTTAGGAAGTAAGTGCAGAACTGGAAAATCATGGCAAAATAAGTCCAACCAGAAGAAGAAATTCCAGAATCGTGAATGACACAGAAAACTTTGTGTTATCCCCAACTCCAAAAGTCCCAGACAACCTTATGCAAAAATTTCAGAGGACCAAAAGGTATTGTACCTTATGGGAGGATTGTTTAAAATAATAAAATTGTCCTCTTTTAATTCAATTGATACTATTGTGTTATGGGATTGAAGAAGCCTAAACTCTCAGAGTAACTAGTATGTGTTTTATTTCCTTAAGAACCTCATATGAAGACCTGAGTGAACACTGGGAAGGTTCAGCTCCTTCCAGTATACCCTAGTCTATGAAAGAAAGTCACCTGGTCTTAATTTAAGCCTCTTCTTTACTCTCAGTCCCTCTAACTCTCTGTCTCTCTCCTCTTTTCTCTTTCTCTTCCCTTCCTTCACTCTCTCCTCTTTCTCTGTAATTGTTCATACTCTTTTTTAAAAATATATTTGTTCATATATTTATTTATTTATGAATGTGATGCTGATTATCGAACCCAGTGCCTCATGCATGTGAGAGAAGTGCTCATCCACTGAGCTACAACCTTATCCCTGTTTATACTCTTTTTGCAAGCAAGAATAATAATAGGACACTCTAAATTTTCCATATCTCTCTTAAATTGAGAAGCCCAGAACTTCCCGCCGTATTCGAACCAAGATTTTGCTATTGTTTATACAATAAGATGGTAACTTGTCACAGAGGCCTGGCCTCCAGAGATATGTCTATAAATCAGGGATGGCCTGCTATATCTTGAATTCTTTTCACCCTGACAAAGAAAGAATGATGCTTACATTCTGTAATAATTGTGATTGCTCTGAGTATTTTATTGGAGCCATACCAAGGACACTCACAAATTTAGACACTGGCAAATTTAGAATGAAAAACAAAACACAAAAAAACAGGCAAAGCAACTCTACTACTCAAGATGCCACTGACTTGGCCAGAGTTCAAGTGCCTTCAGTCCACATCCCCAGTGTGTGGGTAGAAATTGAGATCAGTGTATTTAGTCAAGGGGACCCTTGGAGACCACTTCAGTTCAGGTAAAGGTCACATTGGGCCAGGCTTGATGTTTGGAATCAAGAAGGGACAGCTGTCGTATGGTTTAGGCATTATATGTCTCCGAGAAGCCTGGAGCACATCAACATCTTTGGTGAACAAACAGAAACACCTGGAGCAAGAGAGAACCATGGAGCCCTCCTGCTGTGACACCCAGAACAGGAATTGTCCTTGTGTCACGAGTCCTCTTACCTCCCACCCTGGCTCAGATGCCTCTGTTCACTTCTCAGGGCTCCAGAGGCTTTTGTGTCTATTCAACTAGAAAAGGTGGGGCTGCGGGACATGATGCTGACCGCCTTTCACCTCAGGAAACAGACCATGGCCGGCAGAATGAACAGCCCTGTGAGTGCGCAGAGATAAGAGCTCCCTACAGTTCTGGTCCTTATGCATTTGAGCAAATAAAATTTCTGAACTTGGGGTCTGTGGCTTTCAACCTATTTGGATGGGACTATTGAAAATACAAGGAATTGATAAAGGAAATCCAATAGAAATCGAATAAATTCAAGCAGGTTATTATAGTCAGGTTTTTAAAAATGCTTGCATTTTTTCAAGGCCACATTTTGTTTTGTCATTTTCTAAATGGGCTGTTTTCAGCACCTGCTTTGAAACATTTAGCTACTCCTGAGGTAGGTTTTGGGTTTGGGTGGCTTAGGTAAGGTGGGTCAGGGCTCTGATACCTATTATCTTGGTTTTTGAGATACTTCCAACATGTTTTCATACTACTCTAATCAGTTGAAAAATATTATAAAATTCAAACCTTTAATTAGTTAAAACCATTGCTTCATTTTGTGAATAGCATTTTATTATTCATTCATTTTGATGAGGAAATGTTTATGCTCATGAATAGTTATGATGGGAAATGAGAGGTCTATCTCTAGGCTTTGTCCTTACTTGTGACTAAAAAAAAAACAACTTAAATTTGCCTAACCTACTTCTGCAAATGGGTATGATGAAGGCCAGACATTTTAACTACTGATGAATAATCATGGAGGCAAAGGGCCCCTTCTAATAAGCAATTCTCAAAAAATAGTGATAGAGTGAAAATATTACATTAACTTCAGCTTATCCAACACCTACAGATCAGAAATAATTTATGCAATATAATGATCAGTTAGTTTTGCTAGGATCTGGGATTTTAGCCTATTTGCATGTTCATAAGTTAGCCTGCTAGCAGAAGACATAAGACTTGCAGGTCAGAGGCAAAGAACTTTATTGCTTACAGCAGAGCAGGTAACATGAGTTCTATATTTGTGTCAGTTGTCTTTACCTCCCAAATCCCACAGAGACAACTAGGAGGAGCCTACACGTGCCCACTAGGTTTGTGTCATAGTTGAAAACACTAAGCTTGGGGAACCCACCTCTTTTATAGCAAGCCTGCTCATTTTCCTAGAAGGAGACATTAACTCATCCCTTAAGAGGGCTGTCTGCAAACACAACCCTGAGAAATGATCCAGGTAGAATGATCAGGACCTTGCATTCTTGACATACTTAGAAATATGCGTAAGAACAGAAGAGACACACAGAAGAGGATATCCCAATAAGCTTACCTCCAGAAAGAATGTCTCAGTTGTGTGGCCTTTTCCTGCTTAAAGTTGAAGTTTGTTTGAATACATGTACCAGGTTGGGTAGTGCTTATAGCCAACCATCTAATAGAAGAACTATCATTTTCTTTTACCACAGGATGAAATTGGAAAACTCAAGAGGGATGTTATAATTGAATATTGTCAAAAGTAAGTATTGTATATGTGATAACACACGCTGATTTGTTCTGAATGCAAGAACCGGTAAGTGGTATTTTGCAGAAATTCAGACAATAAGTGAGGTTGGTTTTGTTTGAACAAACCACATGGCTATTGGATAAAATCAAGTTAAACTGACCTCTCATATGCAAAGGACCAGGAGAACACTTTAAAGTACTTTAAAGAGTCTACCACGCGGCCTGCGCAGTGGTTTCATTAATGAGGTTCTAGGCATAAAGTTAGTTAGAAGAGATCGAAATAAAAACACAGACTCAATTACCTTATTTCTATTGCTAGGTCCGAGACGGCTCCCCTCTGGTTCCCTCCTCCAACCGCCCAGCAGGGCAGCAGGGATTACTTAGGGCTAGCAGGAGAGAATGAGGGAGCACGCGGGGGATCAGCCTTTTATTGGGGAACAAGAGATTCAGGGGAGAATTCCATCCAATGAAGGTTGGGGGGGGGCCGCACTCCAAGGTCAGGGTCAGTGATTGGGTCCCCGGGGTCAGTGGTCAGGCACACCCCCACACGGATGGGCTCTCTCATCAGGAAAGGGTCGGGAAAACTTCGACTTTTGCCAAAGTGCCTCAGGCCCTTAACGGGAGTCGCTCAATCACGTGTTAGAATGGCTTCCCACAAAAGAGGTTCATACCTCTGCTTTCAGGCAACACCACATGGAAATTTCTTTTGGACACAGATGCTCTATTCCTCCAGGAAAGTAGATGCTGAAACTTTGATGAGAAGGGAAACAACTTGGATTTTCCTTTGGGACATCATCTCTTCTGACTTTCAGGTTGAGCCGCCACATGTCTCACTATGCTCTTCGGAGTCAGATCATGGCACACTGTAATAGCCTGCGAGTCCTCCTGGAGGATTTTCCTACTATCAGGGATACCTTTTTCATGGTGGGGCAACCACAAGAAAAGAAGGGATCAAGTGACTCCAAGGAGGGCCTCAAGGCTGACCCCAGGTATGTAAAATCAGAGACAAAGTAGAGTTTGTCTTTCTACATCCAAGGCCCCACCTTTCTCCAGGAAGAGGTGTGTTTAGTATGAAAATATTTTGCTGCTATTGTTTGGATCTTCAGTGTGTTCCAAAGATCCAAGTATAAAGACTTGCTTTCCAGTGTCGCATGGGTCCTAGGCCATGGGGGTATGAGCCAAAATACCTGAGAAATACAACTTAGAAGGAAAGAATCATTTTGACTCACAGTTTCTGAGGTTTCAGTTCATGATCAGCCAGCTCCAAGGTATAAACATCATGGCAGAGGGCACAGCAGAGGAAGGCTCTCGTCTCATGGCAGCTACGAAGCAGAGATAGAAAGAGGGAGGGAGGAGGGGGCTGGGGATAAGATATTCTTTTCCAGGGCAACCCCCAGTGACCTGCTTCCCCAACTGCCTCCCAATAATGACCTCAAATTATCAGTTCATCAACAGATTAATCCGATAGTGAGGTCAGAGCCCTCAAGATCAATCACTTTCCTAGAGCTTCACCTCCGAACCTTGCTACACTGGGGACAAGCCTTCACCATATAAGCCTTTGCAAATCCAAACTATAACAGGGATTTGCCCTTGAAAGGAATATGGAATCTTGATCTCTTCCTCTTTTTCTTTTGCTTCCTGGTCATGAGGTGAATAGTTTTTCTCCTCCAGGTGCTTCCAACAAGACTCACTGCCTCACCCAAATAATGGGGCCAACTGTTCATGGAACAAAACTTCTAGAACTGTTAAGCCCAAATAAACCTTTTCTATTTATAAGTTGTTTATCTTAGGTGTTTGTTACAGTAATGAAAATCTTACTGACACTTTTGCTCCTTTTACTGTACTTGACCTTGATAGTCTGGTCTAGAAGCACAAAAGAAAAAGTTTAGCATGCTAAGAAAAAAAAGCATTTTTGTATTTGAATCCAAAAGAAGTTCATTGTTTATGAGCTGTTTGACTGCTTTTTTAATCAGTATAGTTTTGCTTTCTCCTGGGGAGCTCATTTTCATTAGTCACAACCATTTACATGTAAAATAAGTCAACAAAAAAGTAAGTTTGATTTTGAGCTGTCATAGATTTACATATTCTATAATAATAATATAATTATATAATAATAATCTAGAAGAAATACGCAGAAAAAACAATGATATGCCAGTGCCTTGGACAAATTAAGTGTCCTGTTTTCCTCTGTTGGGACAGACATACAGATACAGATGTAGATATAGGTATAGTGACAGAGCACAGCTGCTTCATATATTCTTATAAGGCTTTATCTGGTTTTCTGAATGACTTTAACTCAGCCTGCTTAAGAGTTCACCCCCACCCCCTTCCTGGATGGAGGAGTTAGCATACCTGTGCAGTTAGTAACCTCATTTCCTTAAAAAAAAAAAAAAAGGTGTGTGTGTGTGTGTGTATTATATAGTATACAGTCTCCAGGGAGAAGCAAACACACCCTATAGGGTGAGCTTAACCTCTGCTTCTGTTTCTGCTTCTGGAGTTTGAGTAAGAGGAATACAAAAATATGATCATGGACTGGACAGATAGAAGGGATTTAAGAGATCATTTGTATCAGATCACTCACTCACGCACTCATTCATTCATTCATGCATGCATGTGCTATTCAACTATCATTTATTCCGTGTTTACTTAAATGCCAGGCACTGGCATTTACAGGATAAGTCATTGGTTCTGGCAATAAATTCCATCTAGTTGGGAAAAGCTGTGTAAACAAACAAGTAACTCCAGAGATAACACATTAGAGGTGTGTACAAAGACCTCTGAGGGAATGTTTAACTACTCAGGGCCTCTGGAGGAATTCAAAGAGGATTGGACAGGAATGTTGGAGTTCCCCAAGAAAACAAAATGGTAGAGGCTAGACTAGAATGAAAGAGGTTGAAATCCTCAAGCTCTTGACTGACTGACAGCTGACCAGCCAAACAGTGGCCAGGTCCATCTCCACACTTAAAAGTCGGATTAGTTTGTAGATAACAGTGTTTTGTTCTATGAGCTCAGCCAATGCTTTCATTTGCATAGATTACAGGATTTACCTAATGGAAGAATGCATTTGAGAGAACCGTGGGGCAAAGATGCTATTTTTCTAAAGGGTTTGCCTGAATATCTGCTGCTCAGTAAGGTTGAAAAGCATTTTTGTCATGCAAAGTGTCATAGATAAATCCTTTAAGTGTTCTTAATTCCATTATTTTATCACCCTCTTACCTCATTGACCATTTATAAAGCTAATCTACATTTGAGATCAAACTTTTAAAGTTCTTTCCAGAAATCTAATCCGCTGCATTTGTGATTATGATGAAATGGGTTAAGAAGCCTATTTTTGTTTTTGATGTGTTTAATTTGCAGCAACCAAATAAGAAGGTCAGGATGTAAAGAGGAGGAAAAATCTATCTTTTAGATCTTGCTCTATTTCTTTATTGTTTCTTGTAGGAGACTATGTTTTCTAAAGATTAAGGGAAACCGTCATTTACTCTGGAGAGCCTTGGTCCCTGAATTATCTGGTTGGTTGATGTGTGATAACATCAGGGTAGAACCTTGGGCCAGGAAGGTGTGAGCAAAATGGGTGACCAGTGGATGAGCTGTGACTGGTAGACTGTTTCTCCACTGAATCCTCTCCTTTTCCTAAACTCTCTGGATATATTAAACTCTCTTTTAATATACTCATTTATAGGAATATTTATAGGAGTATAGAGAAAGGAACTTCTTTCTTATGTGAAACTTTGGTGAAAGTACGATTGGATTCTTTCTAACTTCAAAGTCTGGTTTCATGCTCTGGGTACCTACTGATTTAAAGATAAATAAATAAACAAACAGGGGCTAGGGATGTGGCTCAAGCGGTAGCGCGCTCGCCTGGCATGCGTGCGGCCCACATATCAACAAAGCACCACATATCAACAAAGATGTTGTGTCTGCCAAAAAGTAAATAAATAAATAAATAAATTCTCTCTCTCTCTCTCTCTCTCTTTAAAAAAAAAATTAAAAATAAATAAATAAATAAACAAACAAATAAATATATTGTGTAATTATAACAAAATACCTGAGGCAGTCTAACTTTATTTTTTAAAGAAATTTATTTAGCTCAAGTTTTGGAGGGCACGACACCAACAGCACAGTTTTGGTGAGGGCCCTCTCGAAGCACCACCTCATAGCAGGAGTACGTGTATGAGGAAGACCTTACATCAAAAAGCACAAAAGCAGCAGGGCATGGTTGTGCATGCCTGTAATCCCAGCAGCTTGGGAGGTGAGGCAGAAGGATCACAAGTTGGAGGCTAGCTTCAACAATTTAGCAAGACCCTATCTCAAGATAAAAGAAAAATAAAAAGATTTGGGAATGTAGTTCAATGGTAGAGCACCCCAGGGTTAATCCCTAGTTCTCCACAATAGGAAATGAAGACAGAGAGAGACTGGGGCCCTATAATCCCTTCAGAGGTGATACCCTCAGCAGACCTAAGGATTTCCCACTAAACATCACCTCCCAGTAGTACGGCCCTGAGGACCAGGCCTCCAACACATGAACCCTTAGGGAAACATGCTCAAACCATATCCAAATCATAGCTGTGAGTCACAAGAAGGTGTCCTCGTAGAGAAAACCACAGCCTGGAGTTAGAATATTTGGATTTTCCCCTAGTGTTGAACTGAGGTCTTAGGCAAATCACTTATCTCCAAACTTGGGACTTTGGTTTCTTTCAAGTGAGGACATTGAAGCAGCTCTCTGAAGTTAAACACATTAGGAATCTTAGTGCTAAGGTATGTAAAGGATGATTCCAAGAAATAGGACTGCTGAGGAAAGACTTTCCAAAAGGGGCCAGTTTCAAGACAGCTTGTAAAGTGATAAATGGGATCATTACAGCGAAGTTAACTAGAGATAAAGGGACAGAGTTGAGAGCAAGGGTCATGGAGGAAAGGGGCCCTCATCTCATTCACAGAATAACAGATTGGGCTACATTGAAGAAAAGTAAGTTTTATTTGAAATGTCAGTTCCAACAATTTAGTGGCCCTGCTGAGGATTCTGAGACGTTTCATGTTTGTGAGAGTGTGGTGATTGATTGGCAATGTCTGCTATGGTCCAGGAAAGGGAGAAAGGTAGCCTTCCTGTATGTGTTTGCCATCCCTGGAAGAGCTCCAGAAGTTCTGTAGATTTAAAATGCTAAGATGCAACTTAATGCCTGGAAGGTTGTAATGTACTGTATATGGTTTAGCAGAGACTCTGCCCTAAACCAGAGTCCCTGTAGAGGAAGAGCCAGAGGGATCTCTGTTCTCAGAAGTCCCTCGAGGCTTCCTTTCCCTTCAAGACTTCAGAGGAGGCTAGAATCAGAGGACTAGGATGACTCTCAGCCGCATTCCCAGGGGCTTTAGCATTGGCTGCTAAAAGAGCAAAGAGAGCCCCCAGAGAGAACACTACCATTAATTGAACCCTTGCCATGTGACAAGCAGAGCCGCTGGCATCACATACAGCTACTTTGTGCAAATTAGAGGAAGACAGCCCTTCCTCTGGGGGCAGGTGTAGCTCCACACAAGGGTGCAGAGCCTGGCAGGAAAGGTACAGGCTGGGCTCTTGGCCACTGCTGGTTGCCTGGAGGCACAACACATGGCGATGTTGGTGCCAAGTCCTGTAGAACAATGTAATAGACAAGATCCTTGTCCAACAAGGGGAAAGAGACAGACAGCAACAGTGCACTGTGATAAAGAACAGAATAAAGTAAATGTTTAATGAAAGCATCACCAGGGAACAGGATTATCAGAAGGATTGGGGAAACAGGATGGGAACTAGGAGAGCTTCAGGGAAGAGGGATGCTTAACCCGAGGCCTGAGGAATGATAAGCTGGAAGAGCTGCATGGATAAAGGCACGGAGATGTGAGATGGTCTGTGGACCTCAGTGTGAGGACGGCGATGGGAAGTGGGACAAGATCCAGAACACTGGTGTTTGTCCTTCAGGTCACAGTAAGAAGGAGAGCAGGATGATTATCAGTGGCACTACTTAGGAAGTTCCTGAAATTGGATTAACCAGGAGGCTTAGGAGGTGAAATCAGTGAGGCCAGGAGCCAGACTGATGAGGGAGGAAGGAGTCTAGCATTTCCTCCAGAGACTCTGGCTTGGGCAAATAAAAGGGTAGCAGTGCCATCATTGTTTAATAGGTACAGAGTTTCAGTTTGGCAAGATTTTTTTTTTTCAAGTTCTGGAGATGGATGTAGTATGGATGTGAATGTCCTTGGTACCACTGGACTATACACTCAAGAGTGGAAAATGGTAAAATGGCACTATATGAATTTTACCACTATTTTCTTTAAATGGGAAGCAAAGGGGAGGGCTGAGATGTGGAAGAGATAATAAATCACAGCTCGGAAGCTTCGGCTGTCAGTTTCTTCCCCCAATCTCCCAACAGTCCCAGGGGCTATCTATTCTGGATGCTCTCTGCTCCTTGGTCTATTTCTGTTGTGCCAAGCTCTACCATCGTGTCATGTTTGCACGTCCAGCTGTCTCTGGAATGTAAGATCCTTGAGGTGGTCTTTCATGTTATGGGCCCAGGTATGCCTCTGTGACTTTGACCCTGATGCAAAGGGAGGATGGGGAGTTGGGGAGGGGATGGGTCAGAAGGGAGTGAAGGGAGTTCTAGCCAGTGGCCTTTAGTTCAATCGTGAAATACCAAACTATGCCATCACTTACTGGCAGGAACTGGTTATGGGGCTGAAAGAAGACTTGGAATTATTGAACAAGGAAATTGGCATGACAACTGATCAAAGGGGGAAAAAAAAAAAAAAGGTTTGTCCCAGGGTGACATAGCTCAAGCTGGAAATCATTTTCTTGTTGGTGCATCAATATAATTAGTAGTGTGATTTCCTCCAGCTGTGTTTAGCAGTGTGCAAGGAGAAGCAGACAGCTGAGGAGTCGGAAGGACCCACAGTTGGGGCTTTGCTAGGTAGATGGGGTACGAGGACAAAGAAATAGAGAATCAAAGGTGCAGGCAAGAGAGTAGTTCATGTTGTTCATGGACGGTCAGATCCAGTCTGGGAAGGGAAGGGATTGAAGTCAGAAAAGAACTGACAACAGGAAAGGGAGGCCAGAGGACTGGGTGATGTCAAGGAGCATATGGGGACAAGGAGAGTTAATGGCACTGTATGAGGGAGAACGCTAGAAATGAAAGCTAAGGCTTTGGAAGTGAAATGGCTCCAGGTGATGATAAAGTCTAGGATGTGGCCCAGGAGTGGACAGCTGAGAGTAACTAAAGGTAATAGGGGACCATGTTGAGCAGGCCAGGTAGTCCATGGGCCATCCACAAGGGGGAGGGGCAAGGCTCCCTGTGGGTCTGAGAGTCAGGCTACTTTCCCTGCCCCAACCTCCTGAATCTTCTGCCATCTGCACTCTGCTCCCTCTCCCCCACAGTCCTGAGCAATTTCATTCACTCTGCTGACAGTAGCTAAGGTCCATTTGCCAATGACTTCTGAATCCCCACAGCTCCAGAGCTTCAACTGGCTTCGCCTTAGCTGGTAGTGCCTCAGACCAGCTCAGTCAAGAAAGGCAAGAACTGAGCTCCTCACCTCTTCTGCCCCAATCCTGTGTCTATTGTGTTAAAGGAGCACACAATTTCTAACCCCATCCCCAAAGCCAGAGTCAGGGCATCGTTTGTAGATTCTTGCTTTTCCTTATTCCTTAGACCCTAGTGATCCCATTACTTAAGCCTCTTTCACATTTGTACTTAATTTCCATTCCATATCCATTGTCCATAGCCAGACTCAATGGGAGGGTCTCACCTTCTAGCGAGTACCTTGGAAATTGTAGGGACATTTGTTGCCTTGTCTGATAATTGCCTATGAGGAATAAAATTACTTCTGGGTCTCTTGGAGATATTCAGATGATCCTTCTCACTTATTGAAGCAAAATGTAGCTCATTTTAACTAAGCGCTGAATGTTTTCAGTTTCAAATGTTCTGAAGATGAGAGTTGTTAGATCATTAAAACTCATCCTGAAACAAAGCATTGGCCTTATGTCTACCTTTCAAGTCTCAGGGTTTTAATCAGTTAACTCTCAGCTCAGAAATAAAGAACAGTCTTAGTTTGGAGAATTCCTTTTCTCAATAATGACATTCAGATTATTCCAGTCCTGGAACAAATCAAATCCAGCTTAATCCAAAAGAAACATTGAATATCGAAATTAAGAAGCCCAAAGGTCTGAGTCTCAGCCCAGGGGCTTGCGGGCCTTGGGCTGGCTGCTGCAACCCAGAAGTGTGACTGGACTCAGTCTGTGGCCTTGCATCACCTTGCATCTCTGGAGCTGAGGGCCCTGCACCAAGTGCTCATCTGTTATTCCCCGCCATGTCCACTGCTGACCCCTGGCGCCCTGGGTGGGGGCGGTGTGGGAGGGAGGGCCTCCACCCTCACTGCACCCTGCCTCAGTTGCTGTCTCTGAGATGGCACTGGTCTCTGGTCCTCCTGCATACTCCTCAATTCTAGGCCATCCTCTCAATGCGTTCAGGTCCTTAGTTCCTAGCCAATTTCTCTGAGAGCTCCATGTGCGTCCCTTGGCTCCCATCCACCCTGGCTCCCATTCACCCCTGGCCACAGATGCCAGACACCCCCACATTAGCATAATAACAACAAACTTTGTAAAGCACCACTACTTCTTTTTTTTTTTTTTTTTTTTTGGTACCAGGGATTGCACCCAGGGGTGCTTACTTAACCAATGAGCCACATCCCCAGCCCTATTTATTTTTTGTTTAGATTTGATGGCACCAGAGCCATTCAAGTGGGCTTATCGGGGCTGCCTCACTTCTGAGATGACACAAAAACCAGGTCAGGAGACCACCTCCATCCTGAGGCTGTGGTATACAGTTCAAGAGCTTTCATCTGCATGAAAGTCGTAAGACAGGCAAAACCTAGCAAAATCTCTCTTACTGGTGTGTCCATTTATGGTGAAACTACAAAGAACAGCAAGACACTCACTAATGTTCATGTCAGGTGGTTGCTCTGGGGACCAGCAGGGAGGTATTCAAGGATGCTGGGCTTGTGTGAATCCCTAAGCCAGACATAGATGGATGGTGTGTTTGTGTGTAGGCCTGCAATGCTATAGAGACAGCAAAACTGCTGCCTAACAAGTGCTCAGTAGTTAGAGGAGACCAGACAGGAGAAAGAAGAAAAGAAGACCAGACGCTGGGAAACCTGGCAAGAAACATGATGGACAGATGCACACTTAAATCCTAACTCCATCTCTTAGGAGGCAGGACCTCCCTAACCTCTCAAAACCTCAATTTCCTCAGCTGTGAAATAGGAACAAAAATAGATCCATCGTAAGGTTGTCAGAAGCATCAAGGGACACAAAATGTGTTACACCCAGGATGGTGCCTGCGGTCTGATGCCTGCCCTTCCTTTCTTTTCTTACCACACCTTTCCCGCCCTCCATACCCACGCTTTCCTCCCACACAGCTCAGGCTAAAATCAGCCCAACTGCTCCTCTTCTGTTGAGTTGTTTATAAATAACTCTGGCCACTTGGGAGCCAGTGGAAAAGGAGGCTGCTGCCTCGGGCTTGGACGCTGGGCCTGTGGTGACAGTCCTGTGTGGTCTGTGGGTGGTGGTCTGAACAGTTCAGGGTGCCTCTGGGTTAGAGGGAAATGCTCTGCTTCGGCTGATTTCTTCTAATGCTACAGGAGTTCTCAGCTCCGGCCTCCATGTTTGCTGTCAGCGGATGGAAAAGTCCTCCTCAATTTATGGTACATCCCCCATCCTTCCGAAGTGCTGGTTATGTTCAAAACTCTGCCAGAAAAGGTCTGTATTATTTCGTGCACCAGAATGGAAACTGGCTGTTTTTTTTGTTTTGTTTTGTTTTGTTTTTAATGTCTCGTGTGAAGCACATTAATTGGAGAGAACATTTCTTGTTTTTTTTCAAAGACATCTAATAGAAATCTTTTCACGACTAATACTTCTGACTACTTTATTTTAATTTTTCTAGAACCTTTTTATTTCATGAATTCTCTTTAGCCCTGGTCATTAATGAATATTAATTCAGGTTTCTGACATTCCTTATTAATCCTCAATTTCCTCCCAAATCCTTGAGTAAAACCCCACCTTTATGCCCTGAAGCTAATGAAAGGTTGGGTTCACACAGTAACTCAGCTGCTTACTGTTTTTTGAGGGGTTGATCTATATACCTCACTTACTGATAAGATAATAATATTGGTAATCATATAAAAAAAGAAGTAAATATAGAAACACATAGAACATGTAAGCATTTGCCAAATAAAAGTGCAATGATGGAAATGGCATTTCAGAAATATTTTGATTTTTCTTTGTAAGTGAAACCCTGTTTAGAGAAATACCTGCTTACAGGTATTCACTCAGGACAATGTTATGAGTTTGTTTGTGAGCCTTATAATTCATTGATGGTCATACAAATACATTTTGATGTATTCATGGCCACCAGTAACATTAAACAAAAAGAAACAAATTTCTTTAACCCCTCACAGGAGGGCCCTTGTCCCAAAACATATAATCCTGGCTTATGAATAGGTTTATTGTTTTCTTTCTCAGATATTATCCTGTGTACACTGTGAAAATGTTTATTTAAATGCAGTGGGCCTTCTGGACCACAGGTTCTGCATCTGTGGATTCAAAAATTCAACCAAGAACTAATAAAAAATATTCTTGTTCATGTGTACTAAGACATATAGTTTTTCTTTCTTATCCTGATTCCCTGGATGACACAGCATAACTACTTACATAGCATTTAGATTGTATTAGGTACTATAAGTATTCTAGAGATGATTTAGAATTTATGGGAGCATGTACTTGGGTTATATGTGAAAACTGCTCCATTTTTATAAGGAACTTGAGCATCTGCACATTATGGTACCCAGAGGGGCCCTAGAATCAATCCCCTGTGGATTCTGGGGGTTGACTGCATGCATCTCGTTTAAAGATACTGTTCCCATCATACTCAAATATTTTATATGCCTCTTAGAAACTTCCTGAAACTTCTTTTCTTATGCTGATCTTCCCCACAGGAAGCTTTTAGAGCCTTAACACTAACACTACAGCTGATGGCTTCCTTCCATGACATTGTGGCCTACCTTTTCAGTTTTGTTCAACTCGGCAATTGTCCAGCAGGCTTTGAATTTCCTGTAAGCCCTGATCCTTTGAGGGGAGACTGGGGAGGAACAGAGGACATTGGTAAGTGATAAATGATGGTTAAAATCACCTTCAATATTCAGTTGGAATTCTGCAATGCTCTTAATACTTGGAAAGAACAAGAAAGAATACAGAACCATAACATTTTTCTCACAAACAGCAATAATAAGAAAGGGCAAAGGAAAAGTCCCCTTATATACTGTCTCCACACTCACATTCACCTGATGAAGCCCACATCTATGGGCTAAGCCATAGAGCATACGAAGTCAGTTGGTGGCTCAGGTTTGCACCCTGCCTCTGCTAATGATTACTTTACTCCCTGGGTCTCTGTTTATCCATCTATAAAATGGGGTGATAATGCCTATCTCATAGAGATATTCTCTGGATTGAAGTCTATAACATTCTAGAAGGATGTATAAGGTTGTAGTAAAGATGAGTTTTGTCTCATTCTCTTTTCCTTCCTGTTCTTTGTGAACTCACAGTGTAAGGTCAGAGCCAAGCACTCATCGTTAAGAAGCTTGCTGACAGCCCCAGAGAGTGAACAACCACCTGATAGTTCTGTGATAAGAATGATTGAGGCTGTAGTGCCAAATGTCCTGCTAATCAGTGAACTCTAACTCCGCACCAGGTTATAAAATGTAGTATCTTACTAGGATGTTAAGATATTACAAAATAGCATCTTGTAAGTGGGGTTTACCAGAAGCAGAGAAATAGTAATCAATTAATAGCAGAATATTATTACATAGTCTAGGTAGAGAAAGGCCTAAGAAATGAGGTAATAGGCCCATTTAAACCTAGTGGTTTTTAAAACAAGTGTAATATAATCTGATTTTATTCCCCTTTGTGCGACACAAAAAAATATGGTCAACCATGGAGCTGGTGGCTGGTGGATCTGCATTGTGCTAACAGACAACAGACTTTGTAAACATTGTCACGTGGGACACAGAGAAGGACATAAGTGGTGACCTGAGAAGAAGATGGACACCCATCTGAGGAGAGGCAGCAAGAAGAGGGGTGGCAAACAAGGGTGGGTGGCATTGGTGTCACCTCAGCAGAAGACACAGAATTGTTGCAGACTGATAAGCTCTCAAAAGAACTAGCAAGTCTTTGAGATAAGCATCAAAAGATTAGAAAGTTTCCAAAGCACTCCAGATCTTTTCCTACTACTGTGGTTCTGTTACCCTCATAGGGACTTTCTGGGAGGCTGTGTGGGCTGGGCCTCCCATAAGGGATAGGAGAAAGGAAGTGGGCCACAAAAAAAAAAAAAAAAAAAGTCCTTCCTGCCCTGCAGATGGGGAGGCCGTAATTACATTGAGATAAGATAGAAGCAGAGAGAGCCAGGATCTTGTTTCCAAGTGAAGTCCCAGCACAGGAAGTCCTGGAGCAGCTGGGAGCAAGGAGTGCCCAAGCAGATCCTGTAGGAAGATGATCTGGGGGCCTTTGTCCCAACCTGTGGAGGAGTTGACTTGGATCAGAGGAGAAAACAGGAGGGACAGTCCCGGCTAGAGAAGGAAAGGACTCAGGCCAAGGTGGCAGGCAGAACTGCTCATGGCCAGTCCAGAGAATTGAGCCTTCTGGGCCACCAGTATCCAGTGTTTGGACTTCAGGATGAGGGAGATTGTTCTCTTGTGCTGACATGCTGTAAACCTGGAAATCATGGAGATATGTGGGGCTCAGGCTCTGCAAGATGTGCAATTAGAGATGCGCACCTTGGCATGTTCAAAGTAAAAGTGTTCGTGCTCCAGGAAAAACGTTCAAAGTTGTGAATGTTCTGATTTGCTAAAAATAGATAAAGTGCATATTGAATTGAATTAGAGAGAGAGAGAGAGAGAGAGAGAGAGAGAGAGAGAGAGAGAGAGAGAGAGATCCCATACCAAGATAATCATCTTTTTAAACGGGCTGAGCTAATTAGTTCCTGGCCTGATTCCCAGGCAGGGAGAATGAAGGTGAAAGATGAAGTGAGAATCTGTTCCTTTTCAGAGCTATTTGGAGGTAGATAAAATGACTTTTATGGACATGAATGCTTTAAAATATTTCTTAAAGGGATACTCAGGATTTTATCTTTTGGTCCTCTGAAAGAAGCAACTCTTAAATGCTGTGGACCACTGTGGATCCTGCCAAATTCTCTCCTTCACTGAAAGCCAGCAACTCCTTTTGGAGTCAGTGTGAAACAGGATGTAATCAGAATGTGGAAGATGACACTGAGATTTCTTTGTAAAGGATTAGGAGGCCAATTAGAGCCCACATACTGACACACTGAATTTAGAATTTCAGGAACTCTCAAGATAAACCAGGAACAAAGAACACTGGACTCTGAGTCTTCATGGAGTGACAGGGATACTGTGATTGCCCAGGCTGGCTTCAAACTTGAGATCCTCCTGCCTCAGCCTCCTGAGTTGTAGGGGTTACAGGTGTGTGCCACCACACCTGGCTCACAGTGAATATTTTAAAATCAGTATATAACCAAGGAAAGGTATTGCCACATGCCCAATTGTATTTTAATGATAATTCCACATATCAGCTAAAAATAAAAAGCAAGTTTTTATAACTATTTTGCTGAGAGTGATCACATGCAAAAGGGTATAAACAGCACAATAGTGGAAATGGTAAGAGGAAAATCACCTATCATCCCTCCAATCTCACAAGCAAAATATTTTTATTTCTCTTCACTCCCACCTAGCCCTTGCTCAAATATATTTTACATTTACATATTATAGCATTTTAAAGCATGTGCAATTTTATATTCTTCTTTTCTCAGTGTCACTCTAGAGGATTATAACTGTTTCCCCCTGGTCACCATTTAGCCTGACAAGAGTATATATTTCTTATAAACTAAACACACTAGGCTCTGAGCAAATGAGGCTCACCTCAACAGTGACCACCAGGAGTGGGTCAACAAATGACCTCCCCTCCTCCCACCAACTCCCACAAAAGTTCTTGCACAATTCTCTCTAATGCCACTCTTCTTCTGGTAACACTTCTATTCAGCCCAATAGGACCATCAGATTTAGAGGAATCATAAGAAAAATCTGATGCTTGGACTCAATTATTTGGTGGCTGGAAAAAAAAAAAACAACCCTAAAATCATTTTTCTGTTGTGTGTAAAATACCAAATGGATATGAAATCTATAGTGCTCATCTTTTCCTACAGCCAAGAGAATGCATTGCAAGTTTCAATGACAGTTCTCAGCCCTGGATCTGCCCAGATTGAGCCATCATAGAGAGCTTCCTCATAGCCACAGTCCTCCACTCTCCTAGTGGGTAAAAGCAGGAAGAGGCCCAGTACCCATCAGGTTAGGAACATGGCGGCTTGGGTCTGGATGAGCTGCCAAGGTAGGGCAACTCCAGCAGGGCCCTGTGGGTCTTCCGTATTACTCCTGCTTTCAGCTGCCTACTGAGGGGTAGTGATCAATTTCCTCAGTCCTTCTTCCCATTACAGGGATGTCCTGTCAGGGTAGAGAGCTATCACTCTCCTCATAGGGAGTTGACAGCATTTTATATCAACTGACATTCTGGTAGCCCTGCAAGTGTGGACCCCCCAAAGAGCTCATTATTTTTTTCTGTGTTCTCCCATTCTGTCTGGTCAGCTCTTTCCCTGTGCCAATGTCAGAAATCCCCGGATGCAGGCCAGGTTCCTCACTTGGCACTGAGTGTTCCAAAGGGCCCTTAAGCTAAACTTCCATCTAAAATATATATGGACGTATTTATATGGAACCTACTCTTGTAGTAGCCAAGTAGAGGTCTTCCACACCTATTCCTAAAATGGCTAGAATCCCCTAGAAAGGTATGTAGGTGTGTCTGTATATATGTGTATATGTATATATGCATATTTTTCTTTCTTGCTTTGAATGGCTTTGAGTCTTTTTTAGTCCATGAGCTAGTGACTGAGAAGGCTGATCTGGATAAAATGTCAATGAAAATAAGAGCTAGTTTATAATTTATAATAATTTCAAGTTCCTGATGGATATACTGAGGACTGTACTTTCCCATTGCTTGTAATTTCTCTTTTTCATTTTGTTTTGAGACCATAGACTAGTAAGTTTTAAACTTTCTTTCAACAGCACATTCTTACTGTGCTAAAAAGCAAAGCAAGTTTTTATCTTTCCAAGGGAGGAAGGAAGGAAGGAAAGATAAATGAGACCTTAGGTTCTAGAGCACAATGCTTTGCTGACCTTGCAAAACATATAATCAGTACATCCACCAACAAAGAAAGGGAAGGCTGTTCAGGTGACAGGTTAACTTTGGGGAGTAAAATGAAGGTTCCCTAGGTTAGCAGTGGTAGCCTATATTTCATACTGACTCAAACATCCATCATCTAGGGTCTGAGCTTCAAGAGCTGCAGAAAATGCTTGACAGCCTCAAGAGCCCCCAGGACCCGACCCAGGTGGCCCAGGCCCTCCTCCTCCGCAGGGATGTTATGTTTCTGCAATTCGATGCTGCAGTGAGGCATCTCATCCGGTAAGGGCTGGAGGGCTCTTCTTGCCTAGTAACTTCTGCTGGGCAGGTGTTTGCCGAGTGACCATCTAGGGAGGATTCACTTGGCAAGATTAGATAATGAGCTTAAAATAGCCTGGGGTGCAACCAGATCCAGAATGCTTGCTACAAAACGTGTCCTGCTGTGAAGGCTGTCCCTGCAGAATGTGTTTTAATTTTCTTCTTCTTCTTCTTTTTTTCTTTGGTACCAGGAATTGAACCACCAAGCCACATCCCAGCCCTTTTTAAAATATTTTTTTTATTAGAGACAAGGTCTCGCTGAGTTACTTATGGCCTTGCTAAGTTGCTGAGGCTGGGTTTGAACTCACAATCCTCCTGCCTCAGCCCCCTGAGTTGCTGGGATTACAGGTGTGCGCCACCATGCCAGGCTTAATAATCTTTTTTTTTTCTTTGTTCTTTTTAGATATATATGACTATAGAATGTACTTTGACATATTATACATACATGAAGTATACTTCATTCAAATTCTTGCAGTTGTACATGACGTGGAGTTTCACTGGTGTTGTATTTTGATTTTATTAAACTTAATTCCAAGGCACTTTATATAACAACTCCTACTTTCACTGTTCAGATTGTTTTATTGGGAGTAAAATTTTTGTACTTCTGAAGATTATTTCTAAGAGTCTTATTTAGTTTTTCCGACTTTTATTTACCTTTCAAAGGGACAGAATTTTCACTGCACTTCTGAAGTTAATGGAATTAAATTTATAAGTAAATAAATCCACTTCTGTTCTTGTAGTAACTATCCTGTTAAGTACTATGAATTTAAAAAAAAAGAATCTTTTATATGTCTCCTTAATCATAATTCTGATGAACTTTGGATTTGGATTTGGATTGAGTTTAGATAAAGATTTACAATGTTTTTAGGTTAAATTTTATATGGGAGGGGAAGAGATTCAGACCTGAGCATTTCTGCTCATTCTTTCTTTTCTTTTCTTTTCTTTTTTTAAATATTTTTTTTAGTTGTTGATAGACCTTTATTTCATTTAATTATTTGTGGTGCTGAGAATTGAACCCAGTGCCTCACACATGCCAGGCAAGTGTGCTACTGCTGAGCCACTGCCCCAGCCCTCTGCTTATTCTTAAATCGTCAAAATTTATTAACTTCTTTTGATTAATTCCCCCATGTTAGTATTGAGGGGCTCTGCCCATGGATTACAACTCTTTCCCGTCATTAGCATTGGGCATCCAACAAGAATGGAAATGTGACAATTATGCTGAATGAACTATATTTTTTCTGCTGCTTTTTTTTTTTTTTTTTACTCTGTCAGAGAATTTGTATTTAGGATGTAAATTCAGCAGGACCAAAAAAAAAAAAAAGAATCACATGAATGTCTCCATATTAACAAACAGCTCCTGAGCTGCAGCTTAGGGAAGCAGGTAGACTTCACTAAAGGAGAGCCCATTCCATAGGCCAAGGTCAACCTTTGTAAAGGATTTAGTTATGGTGAAGAAACAGAAATATCCCCCCAGAAGTCCTGCTTGGGTTCTAGCCTCAGAGGAGTCAGTCTGGTCCTCTATTCCCAAGGGAGCCATTCTGTCCCGTACCATTGCTTTGCCAGGGCTTGCTCTGTCCTGGCACACTCCTTCCACAGAAATGAAGGGCACTGGGTCCTGTATCTTTTTCCAGCATCTTTCAGAGGGAACCACCCAGGCGGCACACATACCCCTGTGGGCCCTCATTTGTTGCATTTCCCTGACCTCCTTCTTTAGAGCTCTTGGGGTTGTATTTGGAATTGCACAGCCAGGAAGCAGCAGGTGACCATTAGATCCTTAGGGTGTTTCCCTCCAAAGCCTGAGAACTAAGCTGGATTCTGAGCAGCGGCCTGAGTAGAAAAGGGGACTCCAAAAAGAAGACAGGAAACAGAAGAGAAAGAAAAGCAGAAAGATAAATGTCATCACTCTGGGTCATTTTACTTAGCACTGATCCTGCAAACAAGGGAAAGTCCTTAAATAATCAAAAGAAGATTAGAAGCTTGGGGAAGTTCCCTGGCCCTCCCCAGAGCTCAGCAAGACTGAGCAAACAAGACTGTTTGCCTGAGGAACTTTCTGCCTATGTAAGCTGACGTCTTTAGAGTTTTAAAAGAACTGAACTCTTACCTCGAATGAGAACAACACATGCTTCCATGGATTGGGGGGAGAGGAAAGAGGATATGACTCAAGGACAAAAGGACAACAGCCCTGTAGAGTCACCAAAAATCTGACTCTCATTTCTCTCAACTCTATGAGTTGCCCAATGGACAGGTGTTTCTAAGCACAAAACACTTCACACTTCCCCTGTGGACCTGCTCTCTGCCAGCTTGGGCAAAGGTCTGATGAAAATTCATCCTATCCACGAATGGGTTGGAATCCCACTGCCCAGGGCTCATCACTGACCTCTGAGCATGACCACCAACCTGCAGGGGTATTTATTAGCTAATTCAAGAAATGCCTGAGGGTTGAGCTGATCTGTGATGCCAGGTGAACCGATCATTCTTGTTGAAGGGAAATGCTAGGATAGTGCTGCAGTTCTAACCAGTCTCATTTATTTAGGTCAGGAATTGAAAAAAACCAGTGCCATAGTTTCCTGCCTGGTTTTGCATGGCTTGTAGGTTAAAGATGGCTTTGGCATGTTTAAATGGTTGGAAAAAAAATAAGTAAGAAAATTATATTTATGACACATGAAAATTATATGGATTTTATACACCATGTCCATATGTGAATTTTTATTGGAATAAAGCCATGCCCATGTATCTATGGGTTGTCTCTACTTTGCCACTACAATCACAGAGTTGAATATTTGCGGTGAAGACCATAGGGTCCACCACAAAGCCAAAAGTATTTATTATTTGGACCTTTGAACAAAAATTTGCCATTCTCTGACTTAAAGGATGGAATTCCTTTGCAATTCAGGAATAGAGGGAGGAGGAAAATTCCTTCAAAGTTACCCATAGAACAGAATTAAATATGTGGCATGGAAAGTGCCTCTGGTCAGAATGTACTGCTGATGTTCTGAGTGATTAAGGGAAGAAGGAAAAACTGAAGAAACCCTGAAGGCGTTCTCACTTCCTGCAGCAAGCCCGGCTCTGGAGGGCCTCAAGGGCAAGCCACAGAGTAGCGCAAACCTCTCAGTCCTGGACTGTTGGCTGGTTTCTCTCTTTATTTAAAATTTATTCTTATTTTCATGCTTGCCTAGTTGAAGTGTCTCTAAACACTTAGGATGCTAAATTGTGTCTCTGGGTCATCTGGGAGTTTCTGGGAGACATGCAGAAGGCCTCGTGGGAGCTAGGTCTAGCTCCTGGCCTTGGCCACAGTCTCCAGTATCTAAGAACCAAAGAGCCATAACTGTTCCTGGCTTTCTCAGCACCATTCTGCAGGTTGTGCTGCATCTTTGCCTCCAGGAAAACGCCAGCATGTACCCCATGAGTTAGCTGTTCCTATGGCCTGAACCAGCCTGCCTGAGATCACACTGTGGGGGGCTGTCACACAGGAGCCAGTTGGTAGTTGTCCCTCTACTGCTTAGGGACAGTATGGGGAATTCAGGTATTTTAGTGGGTTGTGGGGAAACCTGGCTTTACTAAAGCCTGGCGGTGGCAGGTGCACAAGCAGAAAGCCAGCCCTTCATTCCTATGGCTTCCCATAGCATCCTGGGTGCTGCCGCCACACTGCACTGGTTAGACCCCACCCACAGAAGATGCAGGTCAGGGTTCACCAACTGAGGGTCTTAGTGGGTTATCACATTGTCTTGTGAACATTATCATTTTTTTCCCCAAGGAAAAAGACATATTTACCTAAAACTTCTGTGGGTAAAGAAAATGTCACAATCTTTTTATTTTATTTATTTTTAACTGGAATCATAAGAACATCATGAGATAAGGGAATGCAAGGACTTGGCTTTAGTTTAGTTACTACTGTGTGCCAATCTTGTACAAATGAATTATTTTATCTGTTTTTACAGATGAGGAGATAGAAAATTCAGAAAAGTTGCCTAACTTGCCCAGGGTCACACACACAGCTTGTTGTGGTCGAATTTGTATTCTTGTAGTCTGTGTGACTCCATAGCCCTGTGTCTTCCTTCATATCATATTTCTTTATCCCTTCCTGCAGCTCAGAGCTTGGGCTGGAGATTGACATAAATTGACTTAAAAGTAGGAAAATACTTAATAGATGTTTGGTGGAAAACCTTTCAATAGAGAGGGAAGACAACAAAAAGGATGTAGTACTAAAGATGTTAATTATCATCTTGCTATTCCTTTATGTAGCATCACATTGTACAGTTCTCAAATAAGCAGTTCTAGTACAGTGGGGGTTGAATCTTAGGAAGGATCATGATAAGAATTGAGAGAGCAAGGAAGAATAATTCACTATTTGATCAATAGTGTTGCCTATAATCTGGCTTGAGTCTTTCTAGAGAGTGCATCATACTTGATTCTGTAGCTCAGAATGACAGACACACTCATATCTGAACTGTATTGATAGTTTTTTCTAATAATCTCCAAGCATCTATGTGTTAGTAGACCTAATGAATTAGTTCACTTTTATTGCTATATTGAAATACCTTAGGTTAGATATTTTATAAATAAAAAAAAAGTTTATGTAGCTTATAGTTCTGGAGGCTCAAGGGCATGACATCAGCTTCTACTTAGTTTTGGTGAAGCCCTTGTTGTACATGGTATCACAGTGGCAGGAGAGATCACATCAGTAGACAGGAAGTCAGAGAAAAAGTATGTTAATGCCTTCAGAAGACATACTGCAATGACCTAATGACCTCCTACTAGGCCCACTTCTCAAAGGTCCTACCATCTCTTTTCATTGCCACACTGGGGCCCAAACTTCCAACACTGAAACTTTGCGGGACACAGTTAAACCAAATCCAAACCATTTCAGCTCGTATGAGCACAAAGCTGTGCCTGAGGCTCTAGATTTCTGCCAAGAATTGTGATCACTTCTGGCAATTGTTCATTTAAAAGTTCTGAACAGATTTGCTAGGATAAGAGAGCACGTCAAAGAGTAGGCAAGTAAGATGTGAACAGAGGACCCAGAGGAAGCTGGGACAGAGAGAAGGCTGTGGATTGGTGGCAGAGGCGAACAGGAATGACATGAGAGGAGCCATGTGGGGAGAGGTTGTGCCAGGATACTCTGCTTCTGTGCTCTTGATGTGAGCCTGTTTCTGTTAGAATGTTCTGCTTTTGGATGCCATGATTTTAAGCAAGCACACACACCGAGAGGTGTGCATATACAAAAGGCGTTGGGAATTTAGAGGGCGGTCACCAGCATCTCTGCCTCACTGGGTTCTATTGGGCTGGAAGGTCAGAGCCTGTGTGGGACTCTTGCTTACATCTCAAACACTCCCCAGCACAGCACCTTGACACCGGGTGCTTGATAGACCGGTCACATGGGTGTTGAGTAAATCATGGGTTCCTCAGCAGGGCCCATTGAGTACCATGAGAAAAGAAGCAGAAGAAAATGTTTATTATATCCTTTGGGCAACTCCAAGGTCCATCTCTGAGCTATCATGATAAATCAGTAGGTTTAGGGCTGGGGATATAGTTCAGTGGCAAAGCACATGAACTGTACACAGCCTTCGCATGCATAAGGCTGTGGGTTTAATCCCTAGCAAACCTGCCACAAAAAAAATCACAAATCAGTAGTTTTATCCATTGTCTCAGTATTCAGATATTTATTATTAATACTTATTAACATATAAAAAGAGTTTTTACACTAGTGTAATTAAGTGTGCAAATAAAGAGCTCCTTTCATTTGCCTTTGAAGTCTCTACTTCTGCTGATGGCAAAAACATTAAACTTGTCAGTACCATGTCATTGAGTCATGGTTGAAAATTAAAAGTGGCCATCTTGAAATTTAAAATCAGTTGATTCAAAGTTCTTCCCCTCTTCTTTTGTTGGTGAGGGAAGCTTCTTCCCTGTGGTGATGGCCGAACAGGAGACACCCAAGAGTGGACAGGGGAGATGGATGGCAGTTTATCAGGCATGTGTACCCACCGCCCAGGAACAGAGGCCCTGTAGGCCACACAGGGCCAGTGTGAATGGGCAGGGCCTGTGGGAGGCAGGCTCTGGAGCTTCCAGAGGGTGCCGTGCTCCCTGGTTCCCGCAGGAGGCTTTGATTGGTTTGTTTGAGTAATTCCACACGCTGGCAGGAAACCGAAACTGCAACTCGGGGGATAAGCAGGAGGTGCACCTGGTGCCTTTGATAAGGAGGGCTATTGGACAAGGGGGACTTTCTGCTGGGAGCAGAATGGGAGGGGACCTTGTGGTTAGGCCATTTGAGGCCCTTCTGATTTGCCAGATGTCAAGGTAGCAGGTAATATTGGACCTTAATTATAGGCTGCCTCACGCCACACCCTTCTCCTTCTTCATTTCCCCTCAGAGGTGATCTGAGTTCTTGGGGCTGCTTATAAGTCATCCTGGCAGCTGGGGAGAAGGAGCTACATCGCCGTCTCTGTGTGTGTGAGCTGGTCCGCTCTCAGACTCTTCTGCTGGCCTACTGTTCAGTGCTCTTCCTGGACACCCATTATGGGGGGCTCAGGCACTCCCAAGTTCTTTCCCCCACACTCTGAGGGTCTGTAGTCTCTAGAGGCCACCTCACTTCCATCAGCACTGACACCTCCCTGGGGAATTGCTAATCTCCTTTTTTTTTTTCTTTTTGGTGTTTGCTGTCTGTGAGACTTGGGCCATGCTCATGGAGGATCCAGGCAATAGGTCCTTTGTGCTCTGGGTACCCTCCCCCAGCCCACCCTGAGTCAGCACTTTTCTTAGGCATCCACCAGAACTCTAGAAACAGTCTTTCCTTCCTTGCTATCTCTTATTTCCTTTGGGGCAAGAAAATAATCCTAATTTATCATGCATACTTCCTTACTTTATTTGATTTACACTTATGGTATAAATTTCATGCTCTTGGCTCCAGGGTTTGTGGTTCTTGATACACAAAGCCAAGTTTTGTCTAAAACAAAACAAAAACCTTTCTCTCCATAACCCCTGGCTTTGTTTATCTGGTTTAAAATTTGATTTTACATATCAAGAACTGTTGTCTCAGCTATTGGTCTTAAAATAGTTTAACAAACACACTGATATTTTTGTTCTAGAGCCGCAGGTATACTGTCCAATTTGGTAGCTGCATGTGGTTATTTAATTAAAATTAATATTAATTTAAATGAAATAAAAGTTAAAATTTAATCCCTCGGTCACAGCAGTCACATTTCAAGTGTTCAATAGCCACCTGTGGAAGTATATTGGACAGTACAGATCTAGAACATTTCTACCACTGTAGAAAGTTCTATCCAACAGTCTAGATGCATCAAGCTCTCCCTGTAGGCTGTGATCTCTGTGAATGAAGGGTGGTGTGTGAAGGGGTGCAGGGGGTGATGTGGCTGAGGAAGAAACCTGTCACTGTCTCCCACCTTGTCTTGCTACAGTAGCTTTGAAGAAACTTTGAGCTTTAGGAGATTTGGTAATCGTTTTCAATGAAATGTCCCCCCCCATGTCTTGTTAGAAGAACATTTTTGGCAGCTGGAAATATTCCCGCCTACCAGTCTGTCACTGATGGCATGTGCCATGGGCTGCCACCTCTGAGCAACTCTCTCAGGAAGAGCATTTTTGCTTCACAGCTCGGCCTGCCCCAGCTGCTGGATCCACGGAGCCTCCAGGTATGTTTTAGAGGTGTTTTATACCTATAAGAAAGAGGTACATTGTTAGCTGGGGATTTTGTCACTTTGTTTCCGTTTGGTTTAAATTTTGCAGGAGTCTGGATTCTTTAAAGCCCTTCAGTCTCTGCTGGTGCCCTTTCACTGGCCCAGTGGAGCAGTCTGGGTCTATGTGGCCAGCTGTTATTCCCAGTCTGGGTCTTTTCTGCAAATGCTCAAAAAAAGCAAGAGCTCATCTTCTCATAGTTCGTAGCAAAATAAATAATCTTACCCATTAAATAAACGATAGAAATTATGGTACATTAATTGGGTCAACAGCTGAGTTTTGAATAGCTCTTGTTACAACAAATGTTATCAAATGTCACCCTGACAACTGGGATTGCTTTTAGACAGGAACAACAGTATCCTCCCACTCCTAAAAGGGTCAAGGCTTAGGAAAGCTGGATATTAGACTACTGAAGAGTCAGGGCAACACCAAGTTACAAACTATATTACTTATCTATTGCTGCAGAACAATCCATCCTCCAAGTTTAACAGGTTAAAACAATAAACATTCATTCATTATCTCACATAGTTTCCGAGGGTCAGGAAGTGGGAGAAGCTTAGGTAGGTCCTTCTGGCTCAGAGATTCTTACAAGTTGCCATTGAGATGTTGCCAATATCTCAGGGTGCAACTGGAAGAGTATCTGCTTCCAAGTTCACTCATATGGCTGTTGGTAGACAGATCAGAAGATCCACTCCCATGCTTACTCACGTGAACTTCTCTACAAGGCTTTCTCACAATATGGCAGACAGCTTCCCCAGAGCGAACCCTCCAAGAGGGAGTAAGAGCCTTTTTATTACCTAATTTCAGAAATGACATCTTATCACTTCTCCCATATTCCATTCACTAAAAGTGAGCCACTAAGTCCAATCACACCCCAGGAGAAATTAAGGCCCATCTCTTGCTGTGAAAACTATCAAAGAATTTGTGGATATATCTTTAAAATCACCTCTCAAACCCAGGATTTTTACTTGAAAAAAATCTAATACTTAATGTTTTGACATTATATGCATTAAACATAAATGATGCCCACATCATCCCCAAGCAGGTACCATCCTTCTAAGCTACGAGATAGTGATTCTCAGTCCAATCTTTGATCCTCACTTAGATCTAGAAGACAGAGTTAGACCTTGACCACTGGGACCACTCTGGTTGCCTTTGGGTGTTATCTAGGATGAAGTGGATGCAGTGTCCTGTCCTTGCTACCAGAATCAGTTCTAGCTCTGGGAATTGACGGAAGTCAGAAGCAGGTCTAGAAGTGTAGAATAGGGTTACATAGGTAGGGCCACTGGATCCAGGGCCACACATGATGTCATAGGGGATAGGCAATGCCTTGGCTGTTGTCCTGTGATGTGGAGAAGACAGAGACCCCTGTGTGATAAGTTGTGACATCAGTCTTGAGTTGGTATCTAAAATTAGAGCACAATAATGAGGAGGCCCACTTTTTAAGATTCCTAATATTGAGAGCATTTAAGCAAGTTTATTTTTGTTGATTATAAATAGGTCCATTGGTGCTATGCTGTTATGGAACTTCTGAACAGCAGTGTTGACTAGTTACACTGAAACCATCTGCTGCAAAAATAATTAAAAATAATTATTATTACTCCCTCCTCTACATCATCAAACATTCTCCACCAAGAAATATTTCTACATAATAAATGAATCATCCAACAGTGTGTTGGAGTACAAATGCAGAAATCCTGTTCGTAAACAGATGTCTTTAACTTAGAGTTACAGAACAGCTTTACCATGTCTATTATTTGGTTCTTTTAGGCATCTGTGCTATTCCCCTGGAGAGCATTTCTGGAAGATGGAGGACCATTTCCTGTTATAAGTAGTAGCCCAGATACCCTAGAGTATAATATGCAGGTAGGTATATCTTCCAACTTGTTGGAAAGAGAACAGTAAGCAGACTGAGAGGCAGGGTGTCAGTAGGTCCACAGGTCAGAGCCTCCGTATTCTAGCCAGTGGTGGATAATTTATGAGATAAGTAGGTGCTTAATTATGAAGCTATAAACCTGATCCTGCAAGGTGAGTCATATTTTGTTCCTGTGGAAGAGAATCATGTTCTCAGCAGATACTGACCTTGGTTGTAGACTCAGCTGAAGTTCCCATGGCAGCAATGATCTAGAGGAGTGGCCATCTATCACTACCCACTGTCTGGGCCTCTTAGAGAAACTGCCAGGCTAGCAACTCAGAGGCGTGTGACTCCTGACCTGTCTAGTGAGAAGGGCATTTTTTTAGGCAGGAGTCATATGGAGAATTTCTTTTAATTGTTTTGTTTTTTCATTGTCAACTTCTTTTAATTATTTTAAATTATTAGTTACCTTTAATCATCGCATATTTTCTCATTATCTAAGTAAATATTGAGTTGTTTGGGGTTTTTTTTTTTTTTTTTTTTTGGCATCAGGGATTGAACTCAGGGGCTCTCGAGCACTAAGCCACATCCCCAGCCCTATTTTGTATTTTATTTAGAGACGGGGTCTCACTGAGTTGCTTTAGTGCCTCACTGTTGCTGAAGCTGGCTTTGAACTTGTGATCCTCCTGCCTCAGCCTCCCAAGCTGCTAGGATTACAGGCGTGCACCACCTTGCCCAGCTGTATTTTTAGTTTTAAAAATATAGAAAAGAGCTACTCAGGAGGTAGAGGCAGGAGGAGGATTGCAAGTTTGAGACCAGCTTGGTCAATTTAGTGAGACCATGTCCCAAAATAAAATTTGAAAAATAGTCTGGGGATGTAGTTCAATGGTAAAATATTAGCCTATACACTTTTGACCCTTGGAGATGTGTGTGTGTGTGTGTGTGTGTGTGTGTGTGTGTATTCAACCCGAGCATGTGTTTGTGTGTGTGTGTGTGTGTGTGTGTGTGTGTGTGTGTGTGTGTATATATTCAACCATAACCTTTCTTCAAAATATGGTGTGGAGAGTGAATGAGATGGGTCAGGAGTGGCTTTAAGTCGATGGTTGTGGGGCCAGGTGATGGGAACTATTTTTTTTGCTTATACATTCAAAATTCCTAATAAGTATAAGGGTTTTTAATACACCAAAAGTAAGAATGGTTGAAAAATTATAATTCTAACAGTCAGACAATTGCAGTTCACAATTTGAGGTTTTCCCTCCCCACAGTACTTTTTTCTTGTATGTGTAGTTTTAAAGGAAAATCAGTATCACACTATGCATTTGCCATATACAGATCTGCTGTAAGGACTGGGAAACTTGATACTTCTGCACAGAGCCAAATGTCTGATATGTTCAAGCAGGACAGGACTTTAAGCTACAAGTGTTTTGTTTTTTATGGATTTTCTAATAGTTGAAAAGATAGCTTATGAACACCTACTTTTCTTCCCCAAAACCACATGTGAAGTTTATATAGAAGCCTTCAAAATGGGAAGTTTTTTTTTGTTTTTTTTAAGCTGTGCCTTTGTGGGCTGAGTGACCGTGACCGCAAGGTGGCTCATGGAGAGCTGGTGGGTGTGCAACTGCTAATGGAAGATGTGCTAAGCAGCTGTCATATGACCATGGAGGATCCCCTTGGATGGCAAGCCATACTGGACAAAAATACACAGGTATTCTTGGTGAACAGTCTACATAATCAACCCATGCTGTGTTGTACGGAAGAAATTTCCTGTCTAGATAATGGATGAGAGAACCACATCATTCCCATAACCTTTTCCAGTTGTCCCAGGACTGTGCTGATGTCACATGAAAGCAACAATGAAGCATGGGTAGCTGTGAAAGCTACTCCAAAGCACATTCTTGCACACTTAGTTCCATGATCAGTTGTATTTCCTTTTTTTAAAATTTTAAAAATAAAACCCAGGTTATGGAAGATCCATTGAAACACTCCAGCTGAGTGCTTTCCTTGAGAGTCTCATTTAGGACCAGAATAGAAAGAGCCAGAGGGTCATAACAGAAGCCCCAGGTGAGTTTCTCAGGCTTGTGCTCTTATTTCATCTCTAAACCTATGGGCCCCAGACCAGCACTCCCTCCCTTGGGCTTACCCCTCCAAGGTAAGAGCCACTTACCCACCTCATACCATGACTTGAAACAATTCTGCATGCACTGTTAGAAAACCGATTCCAACCTAACTGTCTGGCCTTAGGGCTCTCACATATTCGTCACTCTCTCTGCAGGCAAACGATCTACTGGTGATACTCCTGCAACAATTCTGAAATCTTTATGTCCAGGCCAAATCTCAAGCCACAGATTCATATCTTCACCCACCTCCTGGACATCTCCTATTGTTCCATCTCACAGACAATGTGTACAAAGCTGAGCTTACTTTACTCCCCTAAAACTCAATCCTCTTTCTATATTCTACTTCACAACCAGACACCAAGTTTTGCAGTCCTATTATTTTAAGATCTCTACCATCCCAAATCAACATGATCTGTTGATGTTTGTGATTGTAACCATCTGCGAGAATCCATATACTTTATCTTGCCTCCTTCCAATCCATTTACCAGGGGGGGATATATATATATATATATATATATATATATAT